CATTACCAAAGTCTTATGAAACTATATGTGCGATTTTTGAAAATACAACTGATGTTAAGTATGAAGATGCAAAGAATAAACTTTTGGCAGAAAGTGGAAAGCAGATGTTATTTCATAATAATGTAAATAGCAGTGGATTGCCAACAGCCTTTGCAACACAGAAATATAGTGACAAAAAATGTTATGGATGTGGCTCAACCAATCACATAAGGCGTTTTTGTCTACAAAATAATTGGCAAAATAGTAATTACGGTAATTACAGTGGATTAGGCAGTACCTACAATCCACCAAGAAGCAATGATCACAGTAGAGGTTTTATACAAAGAGGTTCGCAAAATAGAGGAGGTTACAATGCAAGAGGAAATTACAACGTAGGAGGAGAATTTATTGCAAGAGGAAGTTTCAATACGAGAGGTTCTACAGAGGCTTCAGTTCAAGAGGGGGTTACAGCAACAGGTCAAAAGAAGGTGGATTTCAAAATAGTGAAAGTAACTTGGCAGAAGATGAAAGTTTACTCCAAGGTTCACAGTCAGATCCAGTGGACAGGGGTCCTATTTTCGAATATTTTCGCATACGAAATTTGATAAGATTTCGAATGCTCCCCATTTAATTTACATTGCTGTCAGTCAAATTTCGTGTACGAAATGTACTCGAATGGTTTCGATTATTCCACTCATGTGTTAGAAATCCCATAAGACAAGTGACGACTTTCAGATTTACAGCGAAAATTCTCTTTTCCATTTGATTAACTAGAGAGAATTACAGCGATAATTCTCCCATGTTATTCTATACATGGTTATCATTTTCTCTTGTGATATTATATGAAAATACACTAAATGACATTAAATCGAAATTGTCAAGTAGATTTCGAATGAAAGATAAAAGAGCATTGAAATATTTTCTAGGATTAGAGATTGATTATAATAGATTAACAGGGACATTGAGAATAAACCAGACAAAATACAATAATGATCTTTTGAGACGATTCAACATGGAAAATTGTAATGGTTGTTCAACTCCAATAGAAAAGGATCTCAGAATTGAGTGATGTAATGATTCCAATAGAACAACAAAACCTTTGAGAGAATTAGTAGGATGCCTGATGTATCTTATGCTAGGAACCAGATTAGATATTTGTTTTGCAATAAACTTTTTTAGTAGGTTTCAAGATAAAGCTACTGATGAAGCATTTAACCATTTGAATAGGGTTAGTTTATGAGAGAAATACCAATAAAAAGTTGTGCTGTTATGTGGATGCTGATTGGGGAGGTGATACAATGGATAGAAAATCTGTTACAGCTTATGTTTTCAAAATTTTTGATAACACTTTGTGCTGGACATTGAAAAAGCACATTGTGTTCAACAAAAGCAGAATTAGTAGCTCTATGTTCATCTGATTGTGATGGATTATGCTTAAAAAAATTGTTTTTAGATTTAGATGTTGAATTTAATTGCATTACTTTTTATGAGGAAAATCAGGGATGTTTAACTTTGGTTAAAAATCCAGCAAATAATAGAAGAGTTAAAGACATCAATTTGAAATTCAATTTTGTGGGTGAAAACATTAAAATTGGAAAAATTAAATTGAATTACATTGAAACGTCTAAACAGCAGGGCGATATCCTCACATGTTAATTTGTTTGTAAAATTTAGAAATATGTTGAATTTAAAGGATTTTAGTAAGGGGGTGTTAAAGTTAGTTATAGAACGTACTACAGTTCCCTGCAGGTCCGTAAAAATATAATGACAGATCCTCCATAAGTTTATGAGAAACTTCAATAATAAGCTGTATTAATGAAAAGCTAACTGGTTTAATTTACTATAAATCAGACTACAAGAAAACTTCCAGTCCAGCTAGCACTTCAAAGAGGTAAAAAATCTAATTTAGATGAATTAAACATTAATTATTAATCTTATTCTCAAATACTATAATTATCTGCATTCTACCCACTTTCTTATCGGTCCCTAATATAAAGCCCAAAACATTATTTACCAGTGCAGAACACAAAAACGACCTCCATACCAAACTTTATCAATTCAATCTGTTCGTTCCCATTTTATTAATGATTATTGTTAGGTAAGTACCTACATGATGTTCGTACTAAAACTAAAACAAGTCTAAGGAAAATAAATAAACATCTCTATGTACCATTTCAATAGTGAAAACATTCCATTCAAAACAACTTGCGCACTAATTAAAATACCATAACTGATTTTCCGCTAAACGTGATTTATGAATAATGGAACTACCGGGAAGGTCTTTGAAAAATACCAGGGATCTTAAACAACTTTTATATTTATTTTATATATACCGGTATTATCGTTGTATTATTAATACATTTTTCCAACGTCAGTTGCTATTTCACTCAGAAACATATCAAATGCAACTTGAAGACAAGCACATACATAAGATTATAGAAAAAAATATCAAAAAGTATGCAAACAATAGAAAAAAATACGAAAGAGATAGGATGCACTACCTTGGAAAGGTGACCTTTCAACGCTTACAAAGCAGGCAGGCCCACTGAGACAGCTCTGTTCCAACTGACGAGCATGATACAAGAAACTCTATACGAGAAAGAAGTCGCATTACCCGCCTGCCTTGACAATGCTGGTGCCTTTTACAACATACCGCATGTGACCATTTGAAGAGCACTAACGTGAAAAGTAGTCAACGACCAAAATATCTCGATGGATGCTTGTCACGAGGACAGCAGGGACTTCAGTAGGCACAAAGTCTATTGAGGTGAGCACCGAATGAAATAGTATTGCTCCCAATCCTATTTTGCTAACGTTACAGTGGTCTTCGGTTTCAGCCTCCCTGTTGTATATTGCCAGTATGAGTCTCTCTACAAGCTTTTTCTTTAAATCCTCAGAAGTAATTTTCTGTTTCATATTCCAGGCAAAAATGGAGTTTTTCTTAATAAGTGAAGAAATTGGTAGAAATAACTAGCTAGTCCCAAAAATCTTCTAATATCATGAACATTTTTGGGTGTTTAGAATTCAGCCAATTTTATCCACACCAGGACGTATACCGATATTAGATACTTCATGTCCTAAATATTCTATGTTCTCTTGAAGGAAATAGCACTTATTCAACCTAAGTGTAAAACCGGCTTCTCTAAAGATATTTAGTATGTTTCAGCTTTTTAAATCCATCTGGTAATGATATTGACGGTAATAATACGTCGTCCAAATCTGCCATAGCTGTTTCGAATCGCAAAGAGCCCAAGATTTATTGTTCTCTGAAAAACCGCAGGAGCATTCACAAGTCCAAATGGCATTCACAGGAACTCGTAGTGTCCATCTGGTGTTACAAACGCAGTCTTCGGAATTGATTCTTCATTCAATGGGATCTGATGGTATCCAGTCGCTAGGTCTAGGGTCGTTAAATACATGTGAGTCCAGGAGGTCATCGATCCTTGGCAATGGGTATTTATCTTTCAGCGTTCAGCGTTTCACGATTTAAGGCTCTATATTCTATGCACATGCGCGGCTCACCATTCTTCTTTTTCACCAATAGGACAGGACTTGCTTAAGGTGAAGATGAGTCACGGAGAATATAATTTTTCATGAGGTCGTGACGACTTCCCTTTCAGAAAATGCCATGCGATAAGGGCGATATGTAATACGAATATTATCAGCGATATCGCCATTTCTGTGGATTTTGTTTTTCCAATTTCGTCCACATTTGTGGCATAACAATCACGGTATTCATTAATAAGGTCTAATAACTGTTTAAAATCGGTACTATTGAGCTTGGGATTGGTTTGGTTTTGAAAATCTCGAGTCGTAAATTTTCTGAATTTCGTGACTTCAGTTGTTAATATAGGAACAAAGGTGTCAATTTAACAAGTGTAGTGCCTAGCTACTACCCTACCTTTTTCGTAACATAATTTCTGATCTGAAGAATTGAATATTGGAATATAAAAATTTTCTTTTAAATTTGTCACACAGCCGGAATATGTTCTGTATTAGGGATACTCCTATACTGTAAATCAATAAAAACATCACCGCGAGTTTCATCATTCAATACCTACTAGAATATGCCCTATATGATGAGAAGGTATAACGGTTGTCTCGGTGGCATAAAGATTTATCTTTTTTGGCGGTAAAATGTTCAAGTTTGTGAAGATAGTTTCGTTAATATTAAACAACCGAACCTGATTATCATGAATGACAACCGTAACATTTTCTACCTTAACGGAAGCTAGGTCCACCATTAACTGTGCCGTCACTTTATTGTTTACGTGCACAGTACCACCACCAAAACCACGTAACCAGGCTGAAGCTGGTTCACCAAGTAAAGCCATCTTCTTTACATCTGACTGTTTAATAGTTACTGCTCCATAGCCAGAATCAACCATAACGTAACGCAACCACCTGTGCCCAGCAAGAAAGTGTCCGCTGTCCCTTGTTCTTCAAAACATCCCTGTCTGTAAAACGTGCTGGCGCCTAAATTAAACAGTATCTGGGAGCCCGAGCTGTATCTTTATATTGGTGGTTGCAGTTCGGTTACACATTCGTTCTTTCAGAGGAAATAAAGCTGAAATTGGAAACGTTCAAATAAGTAGAAGAACCAAGAAAAACCAAAAATCATGAATAAAAAAATAATTATACCTACCTAGAAAAAAACTCAAATCCAACCAACTTTTCCAAACTATCAAATAATATGTGTAAATGGAAAGTTCCTATGAAACATTTCTAATTAAAGATCTAAGTAAAAAAAAGGAGGATTCAAGTAGCAACAAAGAAGTTAGCTTTGGCGCTAGTCATTTCAATACAGTGAATTCTCAATTATTTAAATAATGTGCATCATTTTGTTTCGTCTAAAGTGGAACTCACTTTTGTCTACGTAGGTACCTATTTAATTTTTTTATGTTTAATTATTCGAAATTAATTATATTTAATATACGTTCGAAATAATTTTTTTTGTTCCCTCGTAGAGTAGGTAATTGACCATATAGAGATTAACTGAACTGAACCAGGGTCCAGTCTAGTAAGTAGTAGATACAAAGGTAGTGGTTCGTCGTTTTTCTTCTTCCTCAATTCAATGTACCTACATCTAATAAGTACCACCGGTATATAAGTGCAACTGGCCGACGGCTACAAGATCATTTTCAATTTCGCCAGGTCGCCTTGCACGCTTTTCTTTTTCCGTCTTATAGATTTTTCTTTTATTTTTGTGATCTTGGAACTATCCTACTAATGGTGGTTACCGGTTTATTTATTTAATTTATTGATCAATTGACAATTACATTTTTGCAAAAATGGTAAGTTTATTTCGTTTTAGTATTTTTTCTAAATTTTAAAATGATAACATTCTTGATTAACATCATAGAACACAATATTTAATTACCTTTCTATTAATTATATCATAAAATTGTTTAATAATCCAATATAAATTATTATACCTATAGTCGTAAATGGTAATGATGTACATCAAATTTTCAATTCCCATCATCAAACAGTTCAATAATTGAACCAAAATTATTTTAATGGAAAATTGTAATTAATATAGGTACTTATAGTTGAAATAATATTAATTTGAGAGGGTTACTAATAAGCTTTTATACATTTAAACACACACAATTTACCAGCAGTATAGTTGCCTATCTATTTGAATTTTGTTTTTTTTTTGTGCACACATATTTATTTCAAAATGTCAATGTCATTGGTAAGCAAATATTATAGCCTACTTGGGTGAAAGATTTTTAATTTAGAAAATCTTATTGAATTTTCGATTTCTTACAAGGTGAAGTCAATTATTTCATAAAGGATGATAATTTGAAGTAGAATATCTTTATAAAATCCATGTTTTCCCTTTAGGTAGTTTTTTGCATAATTAATCTAATTTGATAAATTCTGTTTTCGGGGATTTTTTGGTTTTTGTTTATTGTGGAAATTGAGGCATTAAATTTATTGATGACGCTAGCCGAAAAAGCATTTTAATTTCGAATGCTTTGAGCCAAATCAATTTGGTTATTTTCTAAATTTTTCATTGATGGCCGAGTACATTAATGTGGTTTTTTCTTTGTGATTATTAACATAATCGCTTAAAAGAAGCTGGTCCAGTTGTATATTGTATGGGTCGTTGCATAGAGGATCGTTGAGTGTAATATGACCATTAATGACCAGTGGGTTTTAACTTGGTTGTTGAATGAATTGAGTTATCATAGGCCAAAATGGCGTACATCATTTTTTAAAGGAATAATGAATGATTTTGCAAATACTTGATTATTAAGGTAGAATGAAGTCGTTCAATCACACCATTAGATTGAGGGTGATCAGGTGAACAAATATGTACTCTGATTTTGTGTAGTTTGAGTAGTTCCGTAATAACTGTACTTTTGAATTCTGTCCCATTTCCTACTATGATTTGATTTGGGATATTATGGTGTGAGAAGAATATTGAAAGTTTGTCTGCAATTTCGGTGGAAGTTAAGGACTGAATTAAGGGGATATGCTTAAGCATACATAAAAAAGCTATCTATTTTAGTGAGAAATTTGGTTTGTTCGAGTCTGTAGGTGTCGAGGTGTATGATTTCGAATGATTTATATGCTGCCAGTGTTATATTCATCTTCATATTAATAGGATGTTGTTTGTATTTGCTTATCTGAGATACCTTACAGTTGCTTATAGAAGTTTCAACAGAATTCTTAAGGTTGGGCCAATAATATTTGTCTCTGAGTCTGAGTCGCTGTAATGTTTCATCTATCTCCCGGTGATTGCTTTTTGATTCAGGCCAATTTTTCATTATATCGCCCATATCTCATTTGTCAGTGACGTCTACTAATTTTTTGAGACAACGTTTGAATTTTAGCGGAGGCCATTTGAAGGTTTTTCGGATAACTTCGTAAAACGGTTCGTATATTTCTGGTTGTTTAAAATAAAGATGATATTGCTTTTCTGGAATAATAAGTTCTTTTATAAAAGTTAATATATCTTGATCGAATTTATTTTTAGATATTTGAATATTTATGCGGCATTTTTTCGCAAACAAAATAGTTATCTTTGGAAATTTGGGTGCATGAAGGATAGAGGAGATATAAATTTGGTTTGCCCCGTAATTCACCGGAATATCACAAATTGATATTCCCACAATTGGATCTTGGCTTTCGTTAGTGTGTCTCGTCATATTTTCATCGGGCGGTTCATTATCAGCTATTTGCTGGTCCTTGATGTTATCAGCTTGCAAGGATTCAGTTTCATGTACTTGAGCGACCGTTGAGATTTCGACGAAGTTTCCGCTTCCCATTAATTGTCTATTGAAATCTTCGATGTAATTTTTTAATACGGATCCTTCTTCAGTCTCTTTTGTATGCAATTCGATTCTTGAAAGTGTATCAGGGTTGGTTTTCGATTTTCCTTTTCTATATATTATTTTGCAATCGTATTCTTCTATTTTGATTTTCCATCATAGTCGTTTTGAGCCTGGGTCTTTTACCGAAAAGAGCTATTGTAAGGATTTGTGATCAGTGATTAAATTCATCTTTCTGCCAAAAATGTACGGTCGAAAGTGGTGGTCCACACGATTGCCAAAAGTTCCTTGTCTATGGTCGAGTAGTTTTTTTCGGAAACGTTCAACGTTCTGGACGCATAAGCTATTGGAAGGTCTTGACCGATAGGGCCTTGTGATAGTACTGCACCTAGCACCACATTGCATCTGTAGTCAAGTTGAATGGTTTTGAAAAGTCTGGATATTGTAGAATAGGCTCATTAACTAGAAGACTTTTTCATAATTTGAAGCATTGAACAAATTCTTGGTTGTGTTCGATAATGGCGCCTTGTTTAGGGCATTTATTAAGTGGTTTCGTCATTCGGACAAAGTCCTTAATAAATCGGCGGTAGTACCCTAGTAATCCTAAGAACCCTTTGATATCTTTTGTACTTTTCGGAATAGAGTATGCCTTTATTGCCTTGATTTTATCTAGGCTAGGCTTGGCAACGTCGGCTGTTACGGTATGTCCAAGGTAAGTCACTTCTTTTCTAGGAAACTCCTATTTATCCAGCTGTATTTTAAAATTGGAATCTCTTAGTCTTCCAAATATGCTTCTGAGTCGTTTCAGATGTTCTTGGAGCAACTTACAAAAAACAATGGTCGTCTAGATAGACTAGACATTTTTCATTTTGAATTCTTCGGAGTATGTTATCCATAACTCGTTGAAACGGCGCGGGAACGTTCTTGAGTCCGAATGGTATTCTCAGATATTCATAATGATCATTTTGGTGTTAAAAACTGTTTTTTCTATGTCGTCTTCGTGCATTTGGATCTGATGGAAACCATTCGCTAAGTCTAGGGTCGTGAATTACTGACATCTCCTTAGTTTGTTCAGTAATTCAGTGATGTTTGGCAAAGGGTAGCGATCATCTAGGGCAGCGGTTCGCAAACTGGGGGGCGCGCCCCCCTGGGGGGGCGTGAAGCAACATTGAGGGGGGCGTAAGTCTTCTCAACAATTAATACAAATTACAAGCTTTAAAATAAAAAATCAGGTAAAATTTAAAAAAAGATGTCTACAATCCTACAACAGCGCATACATAAGCCAAAGCAGCTTTGCCATGCGATCTGGTACTGTATTCCTTTTACCCGTTGAGTTACTCGGAGCTGCTTAGTGTCAAAAGCGTGAACGTTCCTTTCAAAAGTGCGTGAAAGCACTCGAGTTGCTCATAGTGCATCCCCCTTTCCCCTGATGCACCAAATTTGCGGGGGGTGCAATAAGCTTTTTTAGGTAATGTTAATATTAAAGTATAATGATATTAGAAAGTTCTCGTGCCTCAGACGCTATGCTAATACGGTACCGCGAACAATACGGTATTTTAAATGCTATTTTATAGTTCTCGGACACGAAGTCACAAAAATCCCCTAATTCCTTATTCTGTTTACATTTTGACAGCTGAATTGAGTGATCTAATCCAACTTTTTTTTGCTTGTTTGCCAACTTTTATTTATCCTGAAGATTCCTGAGTTTTAATAATTTCTCCTTGGTGTTTTTTATCGACGAATTATTAAAAGTTGCTGTTCTTACAGACGTAAATGAAGGGTAAACTAATTTTGACATAGCATAGCGTTACGGTAAGGCATCCGCTAACTCCCGTTAGGTAGCGGGCGGCTCCGCTAACGCTAATACCGTAAGAACTGTCATACTTGTCAAATAACGTTACGGTATTTGAAATTTGGGCAGCACGAGAACTCTCTAATATCTGAATTATTCTGAATTGTGTGTTTTGGAGTGACTCCGAGGAGCTCTAGAGCGACACGTTCGGTGTAACTCGATGTATAAAAGGAATACAGTAATTGCTACAGCGCACGCTCGCTGCCCACTGTCATGTCTATTCTTCCTCTTCCAAAGTCCAGTTCAGAGGAGTTACAGTAAGTAAAAAAAAAATTTTTGTATATAATGGGGGAAGGAAGGGGGGCGCGACCACTTCTTGATTTCAGAAAGGGGGCGCAAAAGAAAAAAGTTTGGGAACCACTGATCTAGGGTGTTCGTATTGAGCCCTCTAAAATCTATAACAACCCTCCAGCGTTTTTCTCCCGAAGCATCTAATTTCTTGGGGACCACCCAGATAGGTGAACTCCATGGGGACATGCTTGGCCTGATTATTTTCTAATGTAGCATTTTTCTTATTTGCTTTTCCACTTCTTGCTTGTATATGAAAAAGTAACGATACGATTTCGTGTAGACAGGGACTTCGTCAGAAGTGCGCATACGGTGTTTGATGGGCAGATTTTTGAAGTACTGTCGTTACAATGAAAGAGTCATGGAATAGTCTATTTGGGTATAATTTTTTGGCAATATCGAAATTTATGAATGACCTAGTGGAACCTGAATCATTTAAAAATTTTAAGTTATTTTTCGGAAAGATAATATAGGAAAGTGCGCTAGAGTTTGACATATTAAAGGAAATTATTTGGGTGTTTTGACCTACGGATTCTTGTTGGTCTGAATAAGGTCATGAAAATTTTGGTTATACCTATTTGGTTTGGGGGTCATTATTTTCTTCTTGGGTTAGGCCATGAGTTTCTGGATTTAGTACAGTGAATGTGTTATTAGTGTCCATGCTGGTTCCATAGCAATCATCTTTAGGGTAGAAGTAATAATTGTTTTGGTCATAATATTGGTTATCGTATTGAGAATATTGATTAAATATTGATTATCGTTTTGATAATATTGATTATCGTATCGAGAATATTGATTATCGTATGTATATTTTGGCAGCTGTTCTGTCTCAGTGTTGTAGACCTCTTCAAAAACTAGCTTTGGGGGTTGGTAGTTACCTTGTGCATTAGAGGTACTAGGTGAAGGTTTAAATGTAGAGGTTTCTACACTACCTGACATTGGTTTTGGAGCTGGAAATTGCGTTTGCTGATTTTGCCTAAACACGTTATATCTCGGTTTTCCAAATATTTCAGTATTCGCAAAAAATCTCTGAGAGGGTCTGTTGGAGTTGGGTCACATGTTTATAGGTTGCGACGGGAAACTCTGTCTATAAGCATTATGAGGTGTTAGATAATTGAAAGAAAAGTTGAAATTTATTGGAAATTTTGGGAATGTTTGTGGAAAATTATTGTTTTGTATTGCTTTGAAATTATTTGGGTTATTAGAATTGGATGGTTTGGGTCCGACAGGTGCATTTCTTGTTTGATTTTGAAAATAGTGTGTATTCTATTCTTGGGTCACGAATTGCAAGGCTTACAGCTATTTGCACCGGTGTTCCTTAAAAACAAACTAAGTTAGGTAGAGGCTAAGCTTAAGGTGAACCTTTAGGTTGAGTTGCTTTGCACCGACCAAATCTTAGCTAAGAATTGAAAGCTATTGGCAACAGCGCGAAAATGCGTATTTCAAGGCACAAATGATGGAGGATGTACCTATTTCAACCAAGGAATTTATCCGTTAACCTATCTTTGCGATTAAAATATAATTATTTTCGTTAATTTCGTCTTTTCTTTTATAAGTCATATCACGTGGATATTATTTTGAATATATTTTTGGCATTCTTGTGCAAAATTCTGTAGAAATTACCCGACGCACAAAAATAAAAGCATTAACAAATAACTAAATAACAGCAACAACCATAAAAAAAACTTCGGAAAACTTGTTTTTGCTATGAAAATAAACATATATATATTTTTTTTGCTTTAAACATGCAGTCTTCGGAGAAAAGGCTCTTGGAACCTTGGATATTACAAATACAAAATCATCGATAATCAAAGTCAACCAGAATTATGTCAAAAAAAGAAAACAAAACCCAAAAATGAGGTTAGAATCCAACTAAGCGGAGAAAATCTGGGGCTTAACTTAACTAGACTTGAGGTGGACCCTAAACAGCAGTGCAAAGCAAAATCGTAGTTTAAGTTCCACTTAAGACTAAAGCCAACCTTAAGTGGTAGCGGTGCAAATAGCAGTTATTGCATTAAGCTCTGAGGCCGCATGCATCGTATTGTGGTACCAAGAGGCTCTCTTAGACAAAAAGGTTTTTAGTGCAAGATCGTTACATAATTTCCATTTCAATGTTTTGGAGGAAACGACAGTCTCATGGCATTCAATATACGAACACAAAATATTTGGAATGTGTAAAATTCGATCATAGAATTGACTTGACTCTTCATTCGGATGTTGCTTCATCATTACCAAATCCCTATTCAGGCAAGCTTCATCTCTTCAGCAAAATTACGTTTTAGGGTATTTTTTAATTCATTCCATGTCGTGACATTTTGAATATTAACAATTAGTTTAGCTTGTCCACGTCCAAGTTTACCGATCAAAGAATTCAGTACCTAATTAAATTTTTTGAAATTGTCTAGGGTCTGTAGCGATATATAAACTATCTATAAGAGATTGACAAGTAAATGCGTAGCGATTCAAGTCGTTCGGGTTTCCATCGAAAACTGGAACACTGTTTAGGTATTCCGGTTTCAATTGCGACATATTGTTGCTTGTTTGATTATATAAATTTAAATTGGATTCTAAATTTTCAACTAAGTTATATAAAATACTTGTTTCTAAATTTTGTTCAGAATCAGAGTCAGAAAGTATCGACAGATTTAATTGTTCTAAATCAGCGATAATTGAATCAATGTTATCAGGGGACATAAAAATCAATCAATTACACTACAAACAATAATATTAGGCAGGCAATTCCGGTCATTTCCTATAAGGTTGAAGTTTCGGTTTGGCAATGGTTATCCTCTCCAAATCTTGAGCCTTGCAAAAGTAGACAATGTTGGTTCTACGTTTCGATGATCAGTTGGTCGATGATAATTCACAGATGTACGAAAGATTGGGAGTTTTCGATATTCAGAAAGTCCACTCTGTTTCAACACCTCCGCCAACGTCACGACACTAGATTCGTTTCCGGTAAATCCAGTTGAAATGGAAAAAATCAATATAATCGATTTATATTGATTCCCGAAAATCCGTTCAGACTGCGCCAATTAACTAACACGACCGGAGGTTTGCCTTTCTAGAAATTTATTATTACAAATAAAACTAACGGATTACAATAAGAGTATAAACCATAATATAGCTAAAAAACTGACTGATCGCGCCTGGTTGGGATGTTTCTTATATCTATAGGTTGAATATGCAACCTCAGCATGTATAGGGAATTGACCACGATATAACTCGTTGTTCAATTGGCTTAGCGCTTTTGCAATTTCTTCCTTCATCGTTTTTCTTTGCTGCATAAGTTCACATGTTCTTCTATTTTTGCAATTTCCTAATACCATGAATGAAACCTCGTTTTTACGTATCTATCTCTTACCCTTGGTTTCATTTGTCGAGTTTATAATATTTTCTGAATTGTTTTGGGGGTAATAATTATCTCAGTACTTGTGGGTCCTTAAGAAAGTACCTAGTTTTCTAAGAATAGGTAAACAATAATTCAAACACCTACCTTCGAATGGAAATGTTTTCTTAGTTTGGTATCCATATCTATATTTGGTGTGGGTAGTTTTCCTTATGTTTGTGATGTTTCGCCATATAAACAATAAGATGACGTATTTTCATGAGCACTTGGTATTTTTATGTTTCTTGGGCATTTTAAATGCCTAATAAAATGTCTCATTACACAAGACTTGAAGTTGCTTGTTACATTGTTATATTAAAATAGATATCTGATAGAAAACGTCGGTCTTATTGATTTAATAGGTTCAGTTTTAATTAGGGATTAAATCGTAAGAGAACAATAGAGTCCTTTCTTTCTCAATTTTCGACATTTTGCATTTTTTTTTAATGCAAGAAATGCCTTTTTTTCTTCGCCTCTAATTCATTAGCATATTTTACCGCTTCATTGACGCTTTTTAAATTTAAATAAATTATTCTGGAATACATTCAGAACTTTCGAAAATAAAATGCCTGAAACGATTAAATTATTCTCTTTTAGGTTTGCAAAAAATCTGTAAGATCTTTGGTAGAAGAACCAAGCGGCAATAAAAGGGAACTAATACTCAAAGAAATCAACGAAATTGACGAGGACAAATTGAAGCACAACGAACGCCTTATACAAGAATGGATCGATTGTCAGAAACATTTTCCAAAGAATATAGGTAGGTATTACAATATTTAACATTTAATATTGAAAGGTAATTTTTCAATTCCTATATATTTATCAAATTTAAAGCTTAGTACTAGCTCAGTTTTGGAATAAATACCTATTTAACCATAGATTCTGGAAATTGATCTTTCATTAGACTGCGCAAAAGGGCACTATCATCAAAAATCAGGATATTGATACCACCGTATAGAGCAAAGAATAATTTATTATTGGTCTAATGCGCAATAAGGTCTCTGTAGGGAGTATTTTTTTTTTGTAATCATTCAAAAAAAAAAATAATTACCATTAGCTCTTATGGCCGAAAAAAACTTTAAACTTAAATATCTCGGTTTCAATCGTGCAAAAATTTGGTTGAATATCATCTTTTCTAAATATACCTTGCATTTAATGAAAAACGAAGGCTTAAATGGAAAATATTATTCTTTGTAAAAGTTTCGCTTCTGAATTGTCCAGATAACAGTTCAAACCATATATTTTTTGCTTCTAAATTAGCAAAGATATAACAATAAACAATAAGAGATGTCAAGGGTTTATGATGGGAGAGCAAGATCTGACCGCCGAGTTTCTCGACTCGCTATGCATTTCTCTCAGTGTTGATGATACGTATGGGATCTCTTTCACGCTGTTACATCATTTTGTATAGGGATTATCAATTTATCCGCCTGAAGGGGAAAAATGTTTCATAGAGGGTTTATGGTGTATTACTTCATAATAATTTGCCTTTGAGGAAAATAATAAATAAGATAAATTAATCATATTATCAAAATTTAACCTAAATATGTATACAGAGGGTGTTTCACGAACATCGAAACAGAGGCGTTTTAGGGTATTTTAAGGTCGATTAAGAAAAACGCTCGGACACGTCAATTTTGTATTTAAGGGGAAAACTCTTAGTAGCTTAACACTTGAATCGGCTAAAGCAAAAATTGTCCGAAGTGAAAGAGTTAAATGGGAAAATAAAGCTCTACAGGATAATTCCCTCTCAGTAAATAGAATTTCTACTCAGAAAAGACCTAAATCACGAAACGTGGGTAATCAATCAACGAAAACTTATCCACAATGTGGTCGATGCGGTAAAAAACCAAGTCATAGGTTGAAAGAATGTCCTGCATCAAATGAACGCTGTCAAAAATGCTCAATCAAAGGTCACTACAGTAAAATGTTTAAAACGCAGAGACAAACTACTAGCAAATTCAAGGATGTTAATGAAGTTGATGACTCCTCCGACTGATACGAATACTGAAGTTGGCGAAATAGTCGGAGAAATACAGAGTGGCTCGAATACTGCATGGAAAATAGCACTAAAAGTTCCTGAGGAAGAAATATCTTTAAAGATTGACACAGGTGCTGATATAACAGTTTTGAGTAAGACATCGTATGATAAGCTAAAAGAAAAACCAACACTGAAACGTACTTAAGTAAAATTGAAGGGTCCAGGAGGATGTCCATTAAATTTTTTTGGAAAATGTCCACTCCAGATCAGTTATAAGAGTGAAAATAATAAAATCAAGATATTTGGAAAATCATGAAAATTTACTTGGCAGACCTGCAATACAGGACTTGAACTTGCTAAAACTGATTAATAGCATCAATGCCCAGAAAACTGTGAGTACTGAAAAACTATGTTTGAGAAAAATGACAAAATATGTCCCAGAACTTTTCAACAGAAAACTGTGTGCCATACTCAATTTCAGCACCCAGAAGAGTAGCACTTCCATTATTGGATAAAGTTAAAAGAGAGCTACAGAAAATGGTAGATCAAGAGATAATTGAGCAGGTGGATTACAATAATCCTACTCCATGGTGTGCACCAATGGTTTGTGTCCCCAAAACAAATGATCAAGTTAGAATATGTGGTGGCTTCACTGAGCTCAATAAATTTGTTTTAAGAGAAAAACTTATTTTACCAACAGTGGATTCTACACTGGCATAAATAAGAAATGCAAAAGTATTTTCAAAATTAGATTGTGTATCAAGTTTTGGCAACTTCCATTATCAGAAGGTTCGAAGCACTACACTGCATTTTTAACACCTTTTGGAAGGTCCATTTAAAAGAGAATTTCTTTTGGAATTACTTCAGCTCCATAAATTTTTCAGAGTACCATGAATAGACTTTTCAATAACCATGAAGGGGTAATAATAGTACACATTGATGACATTACAGTTTTTAGAGAAAATGTTGCACAGCGTGATGAAAGGTTGCTTAAAGTGTAACGAGACGATGGACTTACCTTAAACGAGTCAAAATGTCAGATAGGCATTTCGGAAGTGAATTTACTTAGACACATTATCGGACAATCGGGTATAAGAATGGACAGTGACAATATAAAGGCTATATAAGACTTTGAAGAACCCAAAACATTGACAAATGTGAGGCAGTTTCTTGGTATGATAAATCATCTTACAAAATTTCTTTAAAATATTGCAGATGAAACAAAACCTCTACGTGAACTTTTAAAATGTAACAATACTTTTCATTTTAATGATATCCATCGACAGTGTTTGAATAAATTAAAAATAATTGTCACAATTGCACCAGTTTTGAAGGCTTATGATGTTACTAAAGAAACAAAAATTCTCGCAGACTCGAGTTATTTCGGAATTGGTGGCTGTTTAGAACAATTGCAACCAGATGGGAGATGGACTCCTGGTATTTATTGTTCACAAAGTCTAGTAAAACGCAACAACGCTATGCCCAAATTGAAAAGGAAGCATAAGCTATTGTATGGGTATGTGAAAGACTGGAAGAGTACCTAATAGGTAAATCATTTACTATACAAACTGATCATTTACCAGTTTCGAGTATCCTAAAGAAGAAATCTATAAACGATTTGACTGTAAGATTGCAACGATTTAGACTTAGACTAACTAGATTTACATTTGAGATTGAACATGTCGCTGAAAAGAAATTCTATATACCAGATACGTTATCAGGACAGCCACTGAAACAGATAGATAATGGAAAAGATGTATTGGAAGAAGAAGTTGAATGCTACGTTAATGTTATAAGGAAAGAAACTGAAGATAACTTGAAGTTATCACACCAAATGGTTGAAAAAGCAGCAAACAGTTTCAAAAACTTAGTGAATATCTAATGCAGGGATGATCAGAAAAAGCATCACAAGTAAATGAGACATGTCAAAAATATTTCAAGTATCGTAATGAAATTACATATTATGGCAGTTTGTTGTATTACAAAGACAGGCTTATAATTCCTTCATCTATGTACAGAGAAACTTTAAATCTATTTCATATTGGACATCAAGGCATAAATGCTTGCAGATCTAGAGCAAAACATACTGTGTGGTGGCCCAGTAGGTATCAATAATTATATCATAGAAACAGTACAAAATTGCCATGAATGTTTGAAGAATCAGAATCAAGTAACAGATCCTATAACACTTCAAAAATTGCCAGACTCACCATTTTAGCATGTATCAGCAGATTTATTCCAGTACAGAAATCAAGTGTAGGTACCTTGTCATACAGGATGTTTACTCAAAATATCCAGAAGTTATTACACTAAAGAAAACTAAAAGTGAAGACATTATTGAAAAATTAAGAGAAATATTTGGACGTTATGGAATTCCAGAGATATTATATTCAGATGGTGGACCACAATTTGATAGTTACAGTTTCAGGAAGTTTGCAAAAACTTACAACTTGAACCACATAAAAAGTATCCCCAGGTTTCCACAAAGTAATGATTCGGCAGAGAGAGCTGTACACTTAATGAAAAAACTGTTGAAAAAGTGTGAAGATCCTTATTTGGGAATATTAGCATACTGCAATATACCACTTTCATGTGGAAACTCTCCTTCAGAACTACTATTTGGAAGAAATCTTAGAGAAATTTTAGCTACCACAAAGAAAAACCTTAAACCAAAACTGGTTGACCATGAAAAAGTTAGGAAGAAGCAGAGAGAGGAACAAGAAGAAGCAAAGAAAAATTATGACTGTAGACATAAGTCAAAAAATTTACCAAAATTGAGTGACAATGACCTAGTTTACATAAAAGCTGTGAAATGTAATGGAAAAATTGTAAGACAATGTCGAGAACCAAATTCATTTATGGTCCAGACCGAAGATGATGTTCTAAGGAGAAACAGAAAATGTTTGGTAAAACTACCTGAAATCAAGGAAAAGGATTTAAACATTGAGAAGAGAGAGAAAAGCGGAAATACTACAGAGATACAAGGACATGTAGAACCTGAAGGAAGACAAAGACGAGAAAAACGAAGACCAAAAAGATTTGATGATTTTATTATGTAAAATTTGTTTACTTTAAAGCTGGGTTCTAACAGAAATTTAATTTAATTTTATATTAACATAATTTAAGATTTAATATTATTTTACTTTGTGGCGTTCATACAGTAATTTTTTATCTGATATAGAAAAATGTCATTATGCGTCATCTGCCTTGTCAAACTGATGAAAACCAATGATCAACCTCAAATTTAATTTAATTTAATTTTGAAAGATAAAAGTTGGTCAACTTTTACATTAAGTTATATTATGTCTTAAATTAAAATTTTGTATGAACCCCGTCAGATGGTAATGTATAGTAAACTTTTTAAATTAAATTATATTAAATGCTAAATTAAATTGAATGTCTGTTGGAACCGACCTTAATTTAAACTTCTTTGTTGTTATTGTTAGTTGACATTCAAAGTTCTAATTAATTAATGTTATGTTAAACTCCGTAAATCTTCCTTTGGTTGGTAATGTACTACCTATATATTTTGAATTTTTTTTTTTTTTCAAAATTAAAAGTGCAGATGTATAATAATATGTCAAAGATAGGGGGAGTTTGAGAGGAGATGTCACTTATGTGTCAGAGAATAAAGGTCGCATGAAACGCTCCCACAGTTTTATTTGAAACTTTACTTTAAAACCTCAATCAATGAACCAATGAACTAAACTTATACTAACTTAAGTATCTAATGTAACAAATACCAGGGCCAGAAAATTGTTTCTTATCTAGCCCATGGCAACTTTGACAGTGAATATCTTGTGACGAGAATCAAAATACGTACCTTTGAAACAGTACCAATCGACCCATCTTCGGCATCTTCCCTATCTAAAAAAAAGAGGTTAAACTCACCCCACCCGATGGGGTCAAAAGGTTTCCCTCTTGAATGCAAAGTTGACTTGTCCGAGCGTTTTTTTTAATCGACCTTAAAATACCCTAAAACGCCTGAAGAATTCAGCTTGTGACACCGGGAGGCAAAATCAAAATAAGTCTTGATCTACTCCATACTAATAATGAAGTTTTGCCATTTTTTTCTAACTCTGGTAAACTATAAAAATTCCGTTTCCGATAGTTTTAATTGAGACAAAAGAACAAAAGTAGGTGTTAATTTTTTAATTGAATGAATAGAAACCGAAAGAGGACGATTCTTGTTGAAAAATTAGCCAATTTGATCTTGTTAATTGTTGTTTTGTTGGTTTGTTGTGCTTATGTTTTGTAAATAAACCATTTTCCTCCTACATACATATACCATTTTCAGAACGCAAAATTTTCCAATTATTTATAACTGCAATTATTATTGTTTATTATCTTGTTGATGTTTTAGTATATAACATTAATAATAACAGCACATTAAAATCGGGTAGTTTTCCTGCTGCCTACTTAACTACATGTCGTTACATTTTGATAGGTACTGTTGTTTTAAAAATAATGACTTAATTTATTTTGCAACTCATAACAATAACACGTTTGGATTTTCCCCTAGAACGGAAAATATCTGACTTTTTGGTTTTTTAGCTGGAAATGTCATTATTCCATTATCTATCTAGTCTGTTTTTTATGCATAAAACTTACAGTAGATTTATATAGGCACGATTACGATAGGTAATTATGACCTTTAAAAGTTCAAAGGCACTAAGACAATACGTTTTTATTGTCTTGGTGCTTTGATTAATAAGCTATTAGTCTTTTTTCGATATTATTTTCGCGTGTTTTTCATTTATCCTTCCTGAATAATTTACTTTTTTCAATTAGGTATCTTCCTTGAAAATTAACACTTGACATTGGATATTTTTCATTCCGGTTTCAGATCCAGGTCTTATTCGAGGCACGCTCAGAGGCCACAAACACATCCTGGAAAGGACCAAACAGAAATTGGAACAGCATTTGGCCGCCAGGCATTTGTATCCAGAAATTTTTGGTAACCGATCCCCGTTCGAGAAAGAGATTGTACAAGCTATGGATGTCGTGTAAGAATTCATTAATTTTTAACAGAATTTTATGCTTCATATGACGCAACTACATAAAATATGAAAATTTTCTAGCATTTTTTTTTTTTCAGAAATATTGCTATAGTGCCCAGATTATCACCAACAGGTCGAATAATAGTCCTATTGAATCTAAACCGTTACGACCCCTCGGAATTTAACTATCAAAATGTGGTGAAGTTGTTCTTTATGCTGTGTAAGTATTGTCCGTCGATTATAATCTGATACTCGGATGGAATGTGAGCTGGGTGGCTCCCTACATTAGAACTCCAATGGTTACCTGACGTCACACCTGTTTTTGCCATATGAAACACCCCCTCGCTCCTCATACGAAAAGTGTCAGCTAAAAATCGACGAACAATATTTGTTAAATATTACTACACGTTAATCCACACCAAAAGGTTTTTATTCTACGATTTTTATAACTTTGAAGCGTGTAATTGAGTCTTAATCTCTCCAGTACCTAGTTAAATCCATCGTCAATATGATGTCAGAATAACGTCGGTTTTAAGTTGTATACCAAACTAATGTATAGACAGATTTATGAACGACTTTGCCAGTTCAGGTCATTCCAGTCTAATATTATTCTTCTTGATCATTCCTATGATCATCATAGGCGATCACTCTATACCGAGTATGATTATTCTCTATTTTATTCTTATTGTTGTCGATCCTGCGTTTTCCGATAGCTATATAAATCAATTTTGGAGCCACACAAGCTTCCCCAGTTTTGGCACACCCAGCCTCTGGCAGCATTGTCTCTTCCTGTTATATCTGTGGTAGGAATAACACTCAGTACAGCAACACGAATAACACTATGTTATGTAATTCTTTGTTCTGTGCTGAAAACTGATTAAACCACAAAACGATTAAACGTGTTAAAAACAACTAAGGTTAAAACTATGACAACTAACAAAACATTATAACAATTAGAAAAACAACTGACAAATAGGAAAACCTATGACAACTCGGAGAACATTCCTTCTTATCAACAGTGTCTTCTTTTTTAGTTTATTCCCAGTGTTGCCACTGTTGACAGTCCAATACTGTCAATTTAATATGCCAGGTACCTGGGAGGCATACGGTGACGTTGTGGTCTTCCTACAACCTTAGTAGCACTCTCCACTACCCATGGACTACTCCCAGGCGTTCCGGAACTGCTGGACTTGGTATTTGCTGTTCTTCGGTGGGAACCGATTCCTCGTATGGATTTATGTCCATTGCTTCTGCGTTTTTTGGTAGAATTTGGCTGGAATTTGAATTTGTGCGCCTGCGAAGCTGATCTGTGTGACTACGTACAATGTTTCCATCTGGAGTGGATACCCTATGTAACTCAATGGGCCTGTGGCTCCACTTTGGCCTTGCTGTGTAAGACCTTGTAAATACATTTTCTCCTTCTTGGAAAGCTCTAGGTTTGCTGACATCTACTTCAACTTCTTGTTTGGTCGCCATTTCTTTAGTAAAATCTGGATCTAATCTATCTAACAGTGTGGACAGTTTGCGCCCCATCAATATTTTCCTGTGAGACTTTGTCGAGAAATGTGCTGTGTAAGCAAGTAGCGTGACAACTTCAAGGTAACATCTGTCCCTGATATCTTCCTAAGCGCTGTTTTTACATTCTGTACCATCCTCTCTGCTTGACAGTTACTGCTTGGGTGGTAGGGTGCAACTAGCGCTTGCCTTATGCCGTTTCTCTGGAGGAACTATCTGAATTCTACTGACGTGAATCCACTACCATTATCAGAGACTATTACGTCGGGTATACCATGTGTCGTAAAAAGCTCTGTTAGGACCTTTATAGTGAATAATGAAGACGTGTTAGGGACCAATTCGAGTATGAATCTATAACTATGAGATAAAAGTTCCCCGCAAAATCTACATAAAGGCGAGTCCAGGGAGCTCGAGACCATTCCCATGGGTGGGTTGGTGACTTCTTGGGCATGTTGTGATGTTCCTGACATTCTGTACATGTGTTAACTTTTTCTTCGATATGACTGTCCAGGTTCGGCCACCAAACATAGGATCGTGCAAGGGCTCTAATTTTGACAATACCTGGGTGTGACTCTTTTCTTCCCCCCTGGAGGGATAATTGTACCCCAAAGTGAAAGCAAAAGTCTTGGTAACTTTTTATTTCATTTTTTTTCTTTGATAAAATAGAATAAATTCGACTGCTAAGTTTTTTGAATCTTTTGGCCAACCTTTCCATGTCCAACCTCCTCTAATTTGGGAACCTCGCTCAGTTCTTGTTGTATTGGTTTCTGTAGAATTCCACAAATAATTCCTATATTCTTCCTCTGTCAAAACATTTGGTTGAAAACAAAATAACTTTGAAGGGTTTGTAATGTTGGAGTCTCAGCTGCTTCCAAAAAAAAAAAAACTTCAATTGAATCACCTAAAATAAGGTTTCGCATTTGGTGTGGATTAATCTGAGAAAAAACTGTTTCACTATAATTATTGCTTTTTAGACGAACTACTAATATCTTCAGACACACTTTATTCTGGCGAAATTGCCATCTTTGACGCATCAAATCTTACTCCGGGTCACATTGCCAAATGGTTTGGGCCATTTTTCAAAACTGTCATGATCATACTCAAAGAAGCTTACGCTGTGAGGCTGAAAGAGCTCTACATTATCAATGCGCCACATATTATGAGCAAAATGGTGTCTGCTATTAAACCACTTTTGCATTCGAAAGTTAGGAATTCGGTAAGTACGAAAATTTGTTACCAAAAAAGGTCTGACGCAAATTATTAAAATTCCAGATTTATATTCTGGATAACTCGCAACCTGTCTTAGACAAGCTAGGTCCAGACTATCTGCCCTCAGACTTTGGTGGAAATCTCAAATCTATAAGACAGCTATCTTTAGATTACTATGACGTCCTCAACGATAATGCCAAACGGTTTGAGGATCAAGAAGATGTTAAAATTATAGGGATACCTGAAAAAGTCTATACCAAACTTTATATGCAAGATCAAATAGGGATTGAGGGTAGTTTTAGAAAATTGGAAATTGACTAGAATAATTTTGTAATTTATACTCTATTAATATTGTGATTTATAGTGTATAAGATGTGAATTTAGGTTATACCTAGTGTTGTACCAACCAATTTATTTACTTAGTGGATAGCATTTTAGATATTTCAACTTTTTAATTATTATCATATTTAGATGAGGTTTTTGTTGACCAGGTTTCATATAATAAACAATCCTGGATTATTAAGGTATGACTGAAAACCGAATAAAAGATTTGTGTTAACTCGAAATTGGGTCTTAAATTTTATATGATAACCAATAATTTCAGTTTATCACTGAGCAGGTGAATAAACACAAAGTAAAGTGGATTATTCAAATAAGAATATCTTAGTGCAGGTGCCGTTATTCAGCCTTCGGAAGTTTACTAATCTGTAAATTAACTATTAGTTAAGAGGAAGTGAAATAAATGAGCAAGTAAGTATCTGACCATTTTAATCAAGAAACAACTAAGCTTTAATCAACAATGTAGATTACTATAAACAAGTTCTTCGAGGGCAAATACCTTTACTGGTATTGAATTACAGTGATTACTGGGATTATTTTGATAATAATCGAGATTCTTAACAAGTTACAAGAATACTAGAAATTTTAGTTTATGATGAGGAGAATAGGACTAAAGATGAATTATTGAGTAAGACTTGAAATAAAAACTGTCAAAACAAGAGGAAGAATTATGTGATAATCACAGTAGCACAATCAATAAATGTGAAGGTAACTGAATAACCTAGGGTAATTTCGTTTCGGGATCATGAATCACTGATCAATCTAGACCGACAGATCAACTCCGAAGGTCTAGAAGACCATTAAAGGTGGACTGGGACAGGGCAAAGGATATGGTAACATATTGAGATAATTAAATGCAGTAGCGTGTCAAATTTTTTGGGGGCCCCCCGCGAACTTTTTTTTGAGGCCCCCTATGTCACTATTATATTTTCCAAAAATAATCAACTCATTTCACTATGTTTAGAAAACTGTGATTCAATGGAGTTCTATGTGAACCAAGTCATAGAGACAGCGCAGGAGCTACAGAAGACCGGTTTCAAGATTGATGATAACTGGATTGGCTCTCTTCTGTTAGCTGGAGATTCTCGCCCATGATAATGGCAATTGAGCACAGTGGAATAGTGATTTCTACAGATGCAATACAAACTAAGTTGCTGGATATGCACGCAGATGACAACACACTTCGTAAAACTGGTGGTGCTTTTGCAGCGCAAATAGGAAAGTCCATGTTCCGTGGTCAACCTAGAATCTCTAGAGATCACAGTACGAATGCATACAGCAAAGAAACTAAATCTGTAAACTCTGGAAAAAAAATATCAACATGCTATAGATGTAAACAGCCAGGACACTTGATGAACAAATGTCCTAACAAGCACTTCGTCAATAACAAAATGCCAAACGCACTAAGTGCAGTGTGAATGGCAAGTTTAATGACTGATTGGTATGTAGACTCTGGTGCTAGTATACATGGTAGCAAACAGAACCAAGATTCCTGTTATGTGTTCCGGAGACATATACATATCATCCAACATAAGAGATGGCCAGAAGCAGAATATTGTCATCAAAAATACATTGTTTGTTCCTGAGGTTACAACAAACCTTGAACCAGAATGGAGTATTGGTGGCTGAAGCTGATTGTGTGGACAATGTATATTAAACTATGCTTTGAGAAGAAAAGGCCAAAGCTGGTTCTAGCAAATTTGGCTGTATCAGGGGAGATATAACATTGTAGATTTACACATTCGAATTACAATGACCTAAAATTAATGCAAAGTGGAGCAGTTGTAGGACTGAATTGTAGTAGCAAGCTCAAGATATCTGACGTATGGAAAGTATGCTGTGAAGGCAAACAGTATCGTCTATCTTTCAAAAATAGTGCAAAGAGAGCAACATCAATTTTAGAAGTAGTATATGTAGATCTTTGTGGACCTTTTGAGGTGAACTCTATTGGCGGGTAAAGGTAGGGGAGAGGGCCCTAAGATGACGATCTTAAGGTTTGCGTTCCAGTTAACGCTCTATTTTTTGACCAGTAAAAGTTTTTCAATGCCAGGCATATAATATTTAAGTGACTAATAAATATTTGAATCAGTTTTAATTTTAATTTTCACTTTGTGAGTGGTAATTTTTTTTTTTGAAAAAAATTTAATTATCGTCATCTTACCCGCTTTTGCTGACAAGATGACGAACGTATGTGGGTAAGTTGACGAATATGGTAAAAAGGCAATAGAACAATACATTTAAACGTTGTAATGATTTATTTTTCAAAAATAAACAAGAACTAAAAGCAAGGAATTTCGAAAGTATTCAAAATGACCAGAAGCAAACAGAAAAAAATTCAAATTATGACCTAACTTTGATCACGACAAAAATCACACACCCACACTTTGGCTTTTGCTTCTTTCAAATCAAGTCCAGTGCATTCTGCGTGTGCCCACTTGGAGCATGCACTACAACAAAACCAAAGCTCATTATGTTTGCCCTCATCTTCACAAAATATGCACAGCCTGTCATATTCTTCAACCTCTTCGTCCATGTCGTCATTACTATCCACCACAGCTACATCTATGGAACTATCAGATGAATTAGATGACTCAAACACTTGGCGCTTTACACTTCTGATTTTATTTTGTTTATTTGCTTTACTATTTTTTTCTTGAACCGATTGGCTGCTGTTTTTTTTTTATTTTTTTCTTCGGCGGGCCTTTCATTTGTTTTTTCTTTTCTTTTTCAAGTTTTACATTGTGCTTCTGTTCTAAAGCATCTTTAACGAGCGTGCTAGAAATTATAAGTGATGGTAGACTTTTCCTGGAACGTTTGTTCTGCCTGTTTGCTTTAGGCAAAGGAGGTAATCCTAACCGGATTGTCTGGCTCTGGCAGTCTTTATCAGGAGTTTTTAATGTCTTTTCAATATGAGCTGCCTTCATCTGCTCTTTGTTGGGAGTTAATGACTCTGGCATACGCTGAAGTCCAGATGTGGAAGGCACAGGTTCAGTGCTTGCTGTATAATTTAAAAGACTTTGTTCCGATGGCAATCTCCCAGTTTGATTATTTTCCTCAATTGATATTGGTTCAGCGTCAAGTTCCCTTTCTGTCGTTTGTGCAGTTTCAAAGTCAATATCAGTGAAAATGTCGGAATCAAACGGCTCTATGCCAGTTGCCCGGAATCCGCTTATAGCATTCGCGACGGTTGCTACTTTTAGGTAAGCCTTTCCAAAGATTGCCGCAATGTCACTCAGTGTAATAGCTTTTCCAGGATTGTTGGTCAAAAAGTCATCACAAGCCCTACTATACGCTGTTTTTAAGGGTCCATACACAGACACATCCAATGGTTGCATTCTGTGACTGGTGTGTGCGGGAAATCCCAAGAGAGAAATATAATTCTCCCTGCACAATGTTACAGCTTCAAACGTAACATGGCTAGCATGGTTATCCATTATTAGCAGAACTCTGTTGTTTTCGCTAGGACGAGCGTATTGAATAAAATGTTCCAGGTATTTTAAAAAAATTGCAGATGTCATCCATCCGGTTTCATGTGCAACACCTACAAATCCAGCAGGTGTGTTGTTCATATAGGCTGGTTGCATTCTAACTCTAGGGAAAATCATAAAAGGGGGAATAAATGTCCCACTTGCATTCATCGCGCATACAGCAGTCACATTAGTTCCTCGTTCCGCAGAAGATATCTTAATTACTCTTCGCTTGCCTTTTGGGGTAATTATCCTGGGATTTTTTGTGGCAACTGTTGATACACCGGTTTCATCTACGTTGTAAATTTGATTGGGTTGGAAATTATATTTTTCTTTGAGTTCCTTTAGGGCGTTGAAGAAATTGGAAACACTTTGGCGATTAAATCCCATTAGTCTAGCTATCGAGGTCGATTCTGGCTTTCGTAGGGAAAATTCGTATTTCCGCATAAACCATTCAACAAAGTGTCGTCCAGCTTTCTTCTTGTTTGTGTTTAACCTGTGTGAAATGTGACGTTTTTCCGCAAAATCATAAATTATCCTGCTGAATTGCTCCTTGGTTAGTCCAAATGCCCGATTGTCTATATTGATAATGTAATCTCGTAGTTCTTCTAATTCCTCATCAGAAAACGTGCTCTTGAATCGACCAGCATTGCAAGGAAATTCCTGAAAATAAAGGCCAATAATTGTTTTTAACAATACATTATTTTAGGAGAGATTTCAACCGTACTTCCTCAGGATCCCTCTTCAGATATCTTCTAAGAGTTGGTTCCGGTATTTTATATGCTATTGCCATGGCATTTACGCGTTTGTTGTTTTGTCTAACCTCATTTATGGCAATTCGCATGTTCTCTTTACTCCATGATTGTCGTGTCGTTTTGCGCTTGTACACTCTTCCCATAATTTATGATCTAAAATTGCGTGTAAATAATTTACCAGCCAACAAACATCATATTATATGTAAGTGGGTAAGATGACGAATTCGTCATCTTAGCTACTATGTTTTTCGTCAACTTAACCCCATCACAGTTGAAATTTTGAAAAATTAAAGCAAACAAAAAACATGAATTTATTGTTTGTGAAAATATCACATATGATACCAAACAGACTCATAAACATTCAGCAAAAAAAGTTTTAAGTTTGAACTTACCTAGAAAAATGCAGACGTTATTTTCTTAGCCACTAAAATTATAACGAAGTACGACCGTGCACCTTATTTACCTGCTACCGACAAACTAACCGTTTAAAGGCTGAAATGGAAGAAACCCCGTAAGGAGCACGCGCAAAGCGACCGTTTCACACAATAATGGCCGCGCAGAGAGAGATACGGTATGTTTTATAGCCGATTCGTCATCTTACCTACTTCGTCATCTTTGGGCCCTCTCCCCTACTTCATGCTGTTTGAAGATGATTTCAGCAAGATGGCTTTTGTGTATTTTTTAGAAACAAAAGACCCGGCTTTAGAATACTTCAGAGAATTTAAGCAGATGTTGAGCATTTTCGTACCAACAGGAAAATTAAAACTCTCAGATCAGATGGAGGTGGTGAGTTCTGCAGTCAAGAAGATGATACTAATAGGTTTTTCTACCAATGTTAAAGGCTACAGGCTCTACGATCCTATAAAGACAAGAAATTAGTGAACAGTAGATATGTCATTATTATAGAAAAAGACGGAAGAACCATATCACTTTCCTTATCAAGTCCTCAATCAGAATTTTCTGTAAAAGTGCCTGATTCAGTGGGGGACGTAGGTCACACAATTGAAAATAAAAATACTACTGTTGATAATGTCGAAACATCTGTTGAAGATGAGAGTGATTCAAATTCATTCAATGCAGATATACATCATCTTGCTGTTCTCAGGAAATCTGAGAGAAATAGGACGCTGAAAGTTTTCGACGATTGTGCTACATAGTTATGCACTGATGTTGACTTGGAAGATGTACCGAGCACAGTCTCGGAAGCACTTGCTAAGCCAGATGCAGATCGTTGGGAGCAAGCAATGTCTGAAGAAATCGAATCTTTTAGTGGGAATGAAGCTTGGGATCTTGTTGATCCTTCTCAGGATGCCTCATCAATATAGTGCAGTGTAAGTGGATTTTCAAGAAAAAAGTGTAATAGTGAGAATCGTGTGAGTTATAGATCTTGTCTAGTAGCAAGGGGTTTTACCCAGCAGGCTGGAATTGTTTATGGCGAAACTTTTTCACCTGTAATAAGTTATTCTAGATTATTGTTGGTTCTGTCACTAAAACTTAATCTTGAAATTACACACCTGAATGTGAAAACAGCCCTTCTGAATGGTTTGTTAGAAGAGACAGTTTTAATGAACTAGCATGAAGGTTTTATCTCTGTTAGCCAAGAATCTAAAGTGTGTAGATTAAAAAAAGCTGTCTGGTTTAAAACAGTCATCTAGGGTATGGAACCAAAGAGTAAATGCATGAAGTTTGAACCAGGCTAGGATTTAAGAAATCTGATTTTGAACCCTTATATTCAAAGGAAATAGCTATTTACCAACAAGTGCGGAAAATGCAGAATTTTACTTTTTTTTGACAGCCGTGCGGTATAGTTATTTTCCTAACAAGTGCGCAAAGTGTTACTTTTCCGCACGCAAACACAGTTATACGAACGACGCGAAGCGGAGTTCGGATACGTGTTTGCGTGCGGAAAAGACACTTTGCGCACGTGTTAGGAACAAAATTTTTCCTACGAGCTTCATATCAGGTAGGTAACAACAAAAATTTAAAAAAAAAACGATAATTTGTTTAATTATTTTTAATTAACTTGAAGGGAACCTATGCATTTATCAAAAAATTACATAACAAAAAAAAAATATAACAGAAAATCATCGTCAGAGCTCTTCATCTTAAAGCGTTTAATGGCGATTTCCATTTGTCATCAGTGCCGCACTGAGTGCATCCGCATCTTTTTCTAAAAGCATGTAACATGTAAGGATAAGGATACATTTTTTTGCCCTGTTTCGACAAATGGAAAATGCTATAAATTTGATGAGATAGTTTGTAGATGCATATATATAGAAAACAAATCTGACAATGTGTTGAAGTTAATTAAATTTGGTGTTTGTAGGTATAGATGTTAGCTGGAACAGGAACAGAGGAAAAATTTGTCATCATGTGTCAAAGTCGACAGGTGTACTTATTGTTGCTTGACAATTATTTTTACTTTTCGGCACTCAGTGCGGATAAGGCCTGTATCCGCACTGAGTGCGGAAAAGTGCAACTTTGAGAACCGAAATGCGTGCGGAAAAGTACTACTTTGCGCACGCTCGTAGGAAAAAATTTTTTTCTACTTGCGTGCGCAAAGTAATAACTTTGCACACTTATTTGCGTGCGCAAAGTTGAACTTTGCGCACGGAAACTCTTTGCGCATTCATTTTTGTTATGCATAATTGCCATAGTTATACTTGATTTTTCAATGTTTTGATGGTTTCTGAATAAACTAATATTCAAAATGAAAGCTTTTAATTGAAATTAACTCTTAGTTAACATGATGTTTCTTATTAAAGGTGTCCAAATTGGACCAGTCTGTACTGCTAGAAATTTGTAAAATTTTTGATATTTAAGAGACTCTCATGAAAATATTCTTGCTGATTCTAGAAATTCCAGAAGATGTGAAATGATTTTTGGGTATGTAATTTAAAAAAACATTCTGAGGAATTCCAATAGATTTTAAATGATTTTTGAAGATTTTGATTTGATTGATTTTTTTAATATTTTAACAATTCAGAGTCTACTTTTTCAAGATACTGGTAGAAAAAATATTGTTCCTAACACTTGCGCAAAGTGTCTTTCCCGCACTCAAAGCTTATCCGAACTCCGCTTCGCGTCGGTCGTCTAACTGCTTTTTCGTGCGAGAAAGTATCACTTTGCGCACTTGTTAGGAAACAAACTATTCCGCACTGAGAGCCGTGCGGAAAAACTTTTTCCGCACTCATATGCGTGCGGTAAAAGTTTTACCGTGCAGCGATAGTTTAAAAAATCATTTCACTGCTGAATTCTAAATCAAAGACTTAGGTCTAGTCAAACAGTTTCTTGGCATGAGAATTCTAAGAGATGGCGACTCTATCTATTTAGATCAAGGAGGTTATTGAACAATTGTTGGAACGCTTCAATATGACAGAATGCAAAGGTGTCAATATCCCTATGGAAAACTTTGATTATAAAACGAGTATTTCAAGTCCAAAAAATGATAACTCTTTGTATCAAAAATTAATAGGGAATTAAATGTATTTAGCGGTATTGACACGGCCTGATATTTCATTTATGGTAAGTTTTTCAAGCCAATTCAATGATAATAATACCTACTGTGTATCATATTGGAACTGTGCAAAACGAAACCTTAGATATTTGCAGGACTTTGTTATGAGATTTAGTAATGAGAATAAGAATTCAGATTTGCAAGGTTTCGTTGATGCTGATTGGGGCTCAAGTAAAAAGGATAGAAAATCCTATACTGGGTTAGTTTTTAAGCTCTCAGGAAGCTGTGTATCATGGAAGAGTATTAAAAAAAAGTCTGTGGCATTATCAAGCGCAGGGGCAGAGTACATTGCTCTTAGTGAAGCCGCAAATGTGGGAAAGGGCTGCCCACAATAAGGAGGAGTTCTATAGCCATTAAACTCGGCGATGTTTCAGAAAGAACTCGAAAAGCACTAGATAACTGTTGTTGCGGAAATAACCCACAACAGGTTTAATTTTTATTATTTCTAATTTAATATATCTCAATTTCTATTATTTACCATAAAAATAATATTCTAAAAATAGATGCTATTACTGGACTATTTATCCTGTAAAGCCGGCAACAACAACCCTTTGAACCGGTAAAATTGCAGGTTTCTTCATTACCTTATAAGATAGTGAACTGTCTCGCCGTGTGATTGGTCAGCCGCACACAAAATCCCTAGTTTTTGCGACCTGCTCCCCTGGCAGAGTCTAGTCGACGCACATTCTTCAGTACTATTAGAATAAGCGAAGAGTTCGCATCCTCGCGCACTCTGAAAGCTCTCCAGACTCAAAACCCTTAAAAAAACTCGTTAGTACGCACGATTTATAGTAAAAATACTACTCTCTGTGTCTCAAGGCCTGACATGGTCTATATAATTGATTACAATTCATGTAATTAACCCCTAATTGTTGCAAGTCACCTCGGACGAGCAAAATTCTATCCTACGCGATTGTTTTTGGCGCTCTCTCTCACTCTCGCCGGGCTCCAACGCGCCTGTATATCGTTGTGTTTTGAAGTTTTCATCTCAGTGGAAAATTCCCTAGCTGCCAGTGTGGATAGTGATAAACGGATAAATAATCGTCTTGTGGATTTATCTGCATGAACCGGATTGAGCAAGTAAGACCGTTACAATTTCTCTAACAGTCGAACAATAAATACTGATTAGTGATTCGCTTGTAATGCACTATAAATTGAAGTGACTTCTCTAACGCTTATGCAGAGGTTTGTTTTCACACTCGTGGAATTACCATTTGTACATTTGTATATAGAAACTGAGCAGATATTAAGACTTTTCTTGCACATATTGTTTACAGACTTCCGCAGAAAAGTGCTCAAATTGTTAACTCTCAATAAATAAAAGAACTTTCAAGGATCAATAAACATTTTGTGATAATACTGAAGTGATTGAAGTTGACGAATTATTTATGTTGTGCTCTCGTACATTTAATTAGTTAATTTGTATTCTCGTTCATTGAACATTCAACCATAAATGATGTTATTATCATTCTCAGATTTCCCTACCCCTTATAAATCAAGGTACTCGTTTACTTTAGATTAGTATTGTATAGATTGTATAAATGAGAATCAAGGCATCCCTAACCCAATACAAGGCTTGAATGATCTAACACCTAGTGGTTAATTTTTACAGTCAGTGAAAGTAAAAGCTTTTGGCTTTCCTGGTGCGGTTTGACTAAAGCCCAAAAAGGGGCAATAGCTAGTTCCATCACAACTGTAGCAGGGAGGAAGGCTTGTCGGTTAATCCGCAGAAAACCATTATTGTCCCATTCACAAAGAAAAGAGTACTAAGAGTGCTTTGATGTCGATGATGACGACAACAACGAATCAAATTATGTAAAGCTATTTCCTTGTATAAGATAAAATGATGTATATAAGTTCAATTTACAAGTAGACCAGTTGAAGTAAAACAAACCAAGGTAGTATGCAAAAACGTCTTGCAAATTTTGTCAGTAAAGTCAAATATAAGTTTTTATTGCAATTTCTCGAATTTTTTCATTGTCAAAATGGTCGACATGTCTATATTGGAAAAGTTTTTCAACAGATTTCTAACCCAACGCCATTGTTACCTCATGTAATGTCAAATCTATCAAGCCTCCACTGATTACCAACTAGAAAATTGAAGAATTTGTGATTTCCGGCCTAGTAGAAGTTCCTCTTCTATTAATCTACATCCCATAAATTCAAACTAATCTATATTATAATTCGCATTTGTGGACAATTCAATTGGCCATTAACATGTAGGTACCTATAATATGCCAGAGAAGCCTGAATTCTTGAAATTTTATAGCTAAAAGTGATGATCCATACAAACTTTATCCCATAAAATCGTTTTAACGCGAAAATATCTCTACTTTGTATAGAAATAGTTTAGGATTACAACCGCTTTTTGAGAACGGTAAATGCAGGTAGGATAATGGATAAAATATATCTAGTTAATCAAAGAAATAAAACATGTTATAATTTTTGTAGTTTATTTCCTATTTATAAGTATCTGTACAATAAATATATTTTTATATAATTTGTATAAATATAGGTATTTAGGTTTTTTTGAGCATTATACTGACTGGTATTTTCAATGGATAAAGTTATACAAAAAAATACCTATAATAAATAAAAAAATCACCCAATTATAGTTATAGGTAACTAAAACAAAGTTCAAGAAGGATTACCTACATTGTTGGGCAGTGCATTTGATTTACTATTCTGCGCGAAAATAATATGGCATTTCTTGAATGTTTTTTTTACAAAGTTGAACCGTACTTGATGTTTTTGCTCCACCACAAGAAGTGGTCCAACAACTGATGAGATATCTGATTGGCGCAAACAAAAGAATTAATTTCATCATCAAAAACTTAAAACTTAACCTAATTTTATTGTTAATAATAAAGGTAACAAAATTTTCTATTTACATAGGTGACTAAGAAAAAACTCATATAAAATTATTAACAAAAAAAAATTAACTAAAAAATAATAGTTTTTCACGCTACTAGTTGTTGTATTCTGGCAGTATTGTATTCTCTATCGATATGTTTGAGTTGTCTCAGCGGCGTGGACAATACGTTATCTATCCATTCCACATCAGGGGCCACATAACCACCAATTTGCCCTTGTTGCTTGCAGCCAGTGTCCCAGGAATAAATACCGCTTAGTGTGTAACGACCTGATTCATCTGCGCAAGCCAAAGCACTTCCGTAATCGACCTATGAAAAAGATAATTTTCAACGAGGGAGTAGTGCAGTAATAAAAATTTTGCTCCAGCAAACTATAAAGGACGACAGCGAGAAGTGACACATAGAAAAAGTCGAAATTTTGGCTTTAAGGTCGAAGTATCAAGTATTTCAACATCATGAGATTGAAATTTCGAGCAAAATTTCGAATCTTCCACTGTAGTACATAGTTCGAAATTAAAGGCTAAACTTCGAGAAAAAAGCAGATATGTCTTAATCCTTGGAACTTTTACTTTAAAGTTGAAATTTCTTTGTTTTTTTTTTTCGTGAAATTTCGACTTTTCTCTCGAAATACGCTTTCGTATTAGAGACCATTAGGTATTAGCCAGATAATAAAATATGTAACTAAAATGGCTCAATTTGGAGCCAATTGGCACTAGCTCAGATCAACGAGTTCTTAAAACGATGGTTCAACTTACTCTGCATTGGTCGATATCTGAAAATCCACAAAGAGTGTTTGTGTTGTAGTTGGATAATGAGTTGGGGAAATGTTCGCCCATAACTTGTTGACATTGTTGCACGTCCATGATGTTCAACTCTATTTTATGCATAAGAGCATTTCTGGCGTGTACTGAAACAATAAAAGTTATTTATTAAATGTTTCAATCTCTTCTGTGGCTCCACCTTACTGGTGGATATTGTTAGGAAACAGTACCAGGACATTCCTGAAAGTACGTTAACCAACAAGTCAAGCTTGGTTTTGTGATTGTATTTTAAAGTAGTTAATCCGAACTACAACAATTTGGCGCAGTCGGTAGGATCATGAACATGGAACAAATGACAGAAGTTCTCACAACTTTCCTAAAGAATCAACAAGAATTTCTTATCAAAAGTCAGCAAGATTTTTTGGGTCAGTTTTCATCAGATTTCCAGAATCCAAAATCCAAAAGCCAAACCAAATGAACAGTTTCGGATAGAAACCCTGGGTAATAGTATCACAGAATTTTATTATGATCAGGAAACAGGGAGCACTTTTGATGTATGGTACAAAAGATATCAAAGCCTTTTCATAGAAGATGCAAAAAATATTTCAGACCCCGCAAAAGTGAGACTTCTTCTAAGAAAATTAGAGTCACAAAGCCATGAAAGGTATGCCAATTTCATTTTACCCAAAGTTTTTCAAGAAACATTAGGTCACTGTAAAAAAATTAAAGTTAATCTTCATATAAAAGAAGATGCAGTTCCTATTTTCAAAGCAAAAAGACCAGTAGCTTATTCAGTCTTGGATACAGTTGACCAAGAACTTTAAAGGTTGCAAGAAAAAAATATATCATTAGTTGAATATTCTGATTGGGCAGCTCCAATTGTAGTTTCAAAGAAACAAAACGGAGATTTCAGATTATGTGGCGATTACTCTACTGGTTTCAATAAAGCACTTCTACCACATCATTACCCTTTTCCAACACTCGAAGAAATCAGTGAAGAATCAAGAAAATATTTAACAAATAAACACTCATCATGCATGAATTGTTTTAAAACAGACAAATGCCATTTGGTATAAAAGTTGCACCAGCCATGTTTCAACAAGTAATGGATACCATGTTATCAGGTCTGAAAGGATCCACGGCATATATCGTAATTTCAGGCCAATCAGGGAACATTTTCAAAATATAAATCTTGTCCTAAGATGTATGGAAGAATTTGGTTTTCACTTAAATTTACAAAAATATAAATTTGGAGTAAAAGAAATTAAATATTTGGGATATATTTTAAGTGAACGTGAGTTGAGACCAGATCCAGCAAAAATTGAAACTATAAGAAATATGCCACCACCCCATGATATCAACAATACTACGTTCCTATCTTGGAGCAATGAGCTTATGGTAGATTTATCAAAGAACTACACGTGTTAAGTCAACCACTAAACGAATTCTTAAAAAAAGGAATCAAATTTTTATGGACAACAGAATGTCAAGAATCGTTAAAAAAAATTTAAAAAAATTTGAAGTCAAATCTGAGTCCAACCAACTACAACCCAGTTCACGAAATCATTATAGCGGTCGGAATAGGTCGGAATAGGAGCCTGTATTTTACACAGATTTAAAAATGGCACTATCAAACCTATATGGCACGCATCTGGAACTCTTACTGAAGAATGGTATCGAACATATTCGCACAGCAGCATATTGACCACAGTCAAATGGTTAGGCAGAAAAGTTTGTTGACACCTTTAAGAGAGCACTTTCAAAAATTAAACGATGGGGAAGTCATAGGCAATTACAAGATATAAACATATTTTCAAGAGTGTACAGGTCTACTCCAAATCCAAATTTTCCAGATGGAAAATCTCCGGCTGAACATATGTTAGGAAGAAGAATGAGAATTCCACTTGATTTGTTGTTTTCTCCGAAAAATATCCGGATTAATAATATTTCAAACAAGTTCCGTTGGATTCCTGGAAAAATCATAGAACCAATTGGCAATGTGATGTACAACATACTAGTGTTCTATTCGAATAATCACAACATATTAAGAAGATGTCATATCAATCAAATTAAAAGAAGATATGCTATAAAGAACCAAATCAAAATTTTCCGATCGTATTACATTTTTTTATTAGAAGAGTTTAATTTGCAAGACAACTTAGAACAAAGCTCAGATCAGTGTTTAGATCAAGAAGTTATCATTGAAAATATACCAGTAAATAACAATTCAATATAATTCACAACAGATAATACAAATACTGAGGAAATGATCGATTGTCAAGAACATAGTGCAAATACTGCTTAGTTCTAATGAAGCTGTTGTGAAGGAATATAATAATTAAGATGGTGAAGTTAGAAAATCGGAAAGGTTAAGAAGAAGACTTTCGTATTTAGAGGATTCTATTTAAAAAAAAAAAGGAGAAATGATAGGAAACAGTACTGGGACATACTTGAAAGTACGTTAACCAGCAAATCAAGTTTGATTTTTTCATATTGATTGTCATTGTATTTCACTGTTGAATTTAATAAAATCTTTTCAAAAACAAATATTGTACTTAATCCAAATTACAACAGTTATATACAGGCTTATTCTTGACTCTTCTTTTGTAGATTACCAATAATATTGTTATAAACCTGCCACTCGTACTTTTTGATTGCCCCCTGTAACTACAGTTAAAGAAGCCAGAAAATTCGACTAGATGAACTGAATCACGAAAATTCGAGCGTGTTACAGAAGAAGGCACGTAACTATAAAAGCCTCGGTGCGCACCGCGTAAGGATCAGTTCTGATTGACGTACGACAAATGCAGTGAACTGTAAAGTCAGGAACTAAATAACCACGTTCGAAAATATTCGTGCGGTATAAGCTTTATTTGGAGTAGTTCTGAGTGTAAAGTAGTGTTAAATTTCGTGTGATTTTTATGTATATATGTATAATAAAATTCGTTAAAGTTCTAAAAAGTAGTCTCACTTATCTGCGAAACCGTATAAGCAACAATTGGTGTCAGAAGTGGGATAAGTGAGTAAAGAAATTTGCATTTATGGTAAACACGAGAAAACAGACTGCCGAAATGGAAGAACAGCTAAACCAAGTGCTCGCTTTGTTGATACTTGCGGACGAGAAGAGAGCAAAAGAAAAACAAGAAGAACGGGACCGACTACAGAAAATACTTCAAGAACAAGAAAACAGGCGACTTAAAGAAAAACAGGAAAAAGAGGACAAGCGAAAGTAAGAGCAAGACCGGCTCCAGAAAATTCTGCAAGAACAGGAAGACAGACGACAGAGGGATATTGACAGGAACGCTGGGTTGTTCCAGAACACAACACAAGAACTCAAAGGTGAAATAGAAACGGTTCGAAAGGAAGTCAAAGGCGATATAGGAACGGTTCGAGAAGAAGTCAAACGCAAAATGGGGACGATCCGAGAGGAATTCGAGAAAAAATATAGAAAACTGGAGAAGAAAATGAAGAAAATTCGCGAAGAACCCAATATCAACGAAAGTACCAGCAAAATGGATGTATCGGTGAGCCCAATCGTACGCAGCCAACTCAAACCACCAACTTTTGACGGCGAAATATCATGGTCCATGTATAAACGACAGTTTAAGGCCGCTGGAGGCGCTGTTTCAGGAATTCTGCGCAAAGTTAGACCAAGAACCAAAAGCCAGAAAACAGATCAAATGCTACAACTGCGGCCGAGAAGGACATATTAGCAGAAACTCTAGGTGACGTTTCCGCTCAGGAGATCGTGAAGCGAGGAAGAAGGTGATTCCAGACAACATCAGGGAAACGCCACCTCGCCAGTGTAAGGGGACGAATGCTGACGACCGCCGATTCTCGAGTCTCCAAAGTAAGGGTATTCTCCATCAAGAAGAATTGTGGAAGTCTCGTTGCCCAAGGCACCCTCAACGGCAAGAAATGTGATTTGACCATCGACACAGGGGCATCGAGATCAGTGGTTCGCCCCGACAAGGTTTCTAAGGACTCTGTAATAATGTTGAGAAATAAACCACTGCTAGAAACAGCTAAGGGAGATTTGACAAATGTTTTTGGAGAGACCACCGTGACATTGGGAATAGGCAGCACCGAACTTAAGGTAGAAGTGATAGTTGCTGACATAGTGGATGAATTTATATTGGGAGTGGATGTCCTAGAAACCTTTGATTTCCTATCAGTGGACTTTAAAAATAAAATGTTAAGAGTGGGCAACGAAGTAATACTTTCTCTTCTCATCACCGTCAAATAGGGTTTGTCAAATAATCATTGATGAAGATACACGAATTTCTGGAAATAGTCGAATGTGCGGGCACACCTAGAAAAACAGCTAGAAAGCGTGAACACCATGATCATGGAACCAACAGGAAACATGCAGAATGGAACACTTGTGGCATATTGCTTAGTGAATTTCAACAATGTTTTTCCAGTGAGAGTGGCCAATCTAGCAACAAACCGTGTGACATTGAAGAAAAGAGACGTCATTGGCAGATGTACACCAACTATACGAGAAGTCAGATGCGCAAAAAAGGAGCCTGTATCAAATGAAGCACATTTATCAATAGAACTTCTGGAGAAGTTTGAAAAGAGCTGGAATCACTTAGGCCAGCAAGAAAAGAAGAAAGCTATTGACTTTGTTCAGGAAGAGGCTGGTGTTTTTGTGCAAGATAAAATTACTGGACGAACTAATTTGATAGATCATCGCATCAACACAAGAAGTGCTACACCCATTCGCCAACCACCACGAAAACTCCCTTTCGCAAAGCAACAGCAAGTTAACACCATGCTTAAGGAAATGCTGAAGGACAACATCATAGAAGAATCTAATAGTCCATGGTCATCGCGGGTCGTACTAGTTACGAAAAAGGATGGTTCTACCAGGCTTTGTGTGGATTATAGAAGGTTGAATGACGTTACGAAGAAAGATAGCTATCCATTTCCCCGGATTGACGATACCCTTAACACCTTATCAGGATCCAAGTGGTTTTCAACCCTGGACTTGAAAAGTGGATATTGGCAGGTGGAACTCAATAAAGAGGATAAAGAGAAGACCGCATTTACTGCAGGAAACGGCCTATATCAATTTAACGTCATGCCGTTTGGATTATGCAATGCACCTGCCACTTTTGAAAGTCTGATGGAGTTAGTTCTGCGAGGACTGACTTGGGAAACGTGCATGGTATATCTGGATGATGTCATGGTGATTGGCAAAGATTTCGACGAACACCTGTCGAATTTGAAGGAAGTTTTTGCCAGGATTCGAAGTGCCAATCTGCAACTAAATCCCAAGAAGTGTATTTTACTCCAGGAAAAAGTAAACTTCCTCGGCCATGTCGTCTCATCAAAAGGAATAGAGATCCAGATAAAGTCCAAGCTGTGCGAGATTGGCCCAGACCAGAGAATAAACATGAAGTTAGAAGCTTCCTGGGACTCTGCAGTTACTAGCGCCGGTTTGTCAAGGATTTTGAGATTGCGAAGCCTTTACATGAACTAACTGAAAAGAACGCTCGTTTTGATTGGATAACTGAATGTCAACGGTCTTTCGTGGAGCTGAAAAATAAATTGACTAGTGCTCCAGTTCTGGCGTATCCCAGGGTTGAAGGTCTATTTATGTTAGAAACTGACGCATCGCAAAGTGGAATAGGGGCTGTTCTTTCCCAAATTCAAAACAACGAAGAAGTAGTAATTGGATACTTCAATAAGTCCATTGGAAAGGCAGAGAAGAATTATTGTGTCACCCGAAAGGAGCTTCTGGCAGTAGTAAGATCTATTGAATATTACCACAGCTTTCTCTATGGCCGGAAGTTCCTAGTTAGAACCGACCATATTCTGCATTGCAATGGCTGCACAATTTTAAAAATCCAGAGGGTCAAATAGTGCGTTGGTTAGAGAAATTACAAAGTTATGACTTCCAAATCAAAATCGCAAAGGAAGGAGTCATGCCAACGCCGACAGCCTATCACGAAGACCATGTATTGACAGCTCATGCAAATTCTGCCAAAGGCAAGAGGAAAAGGAAGCAACCAAAAATTCTTGGCTGGAGTCGTTCAACAAATAACGCTTAAAAATTCCGACAACGACGCTAATACTGATGAGGACATTACAGGAGAAGACTCCGAAGAACAACAAATTATGGATAAGGAATTGAAAATGGTGCGTGGCTGGCTACAAGACGGACAACGACCTGAATGGCAAGAAATTTCCAGTTTGACTCAAACGGTGAAGGGATACTGGCTGCAATGGGACTCGTTGTGCCTGTGAGATGACTTGATCACTCGTAAATGGAAGAGTCCAGATGGAAAAAACCTAGTACCTATATCAGACCGTTGTGCCACGGACCATGGTCGACAGAGTGCTTCAAGAACTGCACAGTAGTAGGAGTGGCGGACACTTCGGAGTCAATAGGACCTTGGCTCGAGTAAGAGATAGGTACTATTGGATCAACTGTCGTAAGGATGTTGAAGAGTGGTGCAAGAGATGCGATCTTTGTGCTTCTAAGAAAGGATCCAAGACGCGATCCCGTGGAGAAATGAAGCAGTACTTGTCCGGTTCCCCTTGAGAGAAAATTGCCGTGGATATTGCAGGTCCTTTTCCTACGACGGAGTTAGGGAATAAGTACCTCATTGTTGCTATGGACTATTTTTCAAAGTGGCCAGAAGTAGTTTCCATACCCAATCAGGAAGCAGTTACTATTGCGGAATCATTGCTGGAAAACGTCATATCCAGACATGGAGTACCGATGGAACTTCATACCGATCAGGGAAGGAATTTTGGGTCCGAGGTATGGAAACACACTTGATGAGATTACTGGGAGTAAGGAAAACGAGGACGACTGCACTTCACTCACAGTCGGATGGAATGGTCGAGAGGCACAATCGGACCATCAATCAATACCTCTCGATGTTTGTAGATGATCACCAGCGAGACTGGGATGAACTAGTGCCTCTTTTCCTTCTGGCTTATAGAAGCTCTCAGCTTGAGTCCACCGGGTATACACCATCTATGCTGTTGACTGGAAGATAAATGAAGTTTCCAGTAGATTTAATATTTGGCAGGCCTCTAGTCGATGAAGACGAAGCTGTACTTCCAGTTTACGTGGCTGATCTCCAGGACAGACTTAGAGTGGTACACGATTTCGCCAGAAATAAGCTACGTCTGACCAGTGACAGAATGAAGATGAGACTCGACCGACGTCAGTCACTGAATACCTTTAATGAACGCGATGCTATCTGGTTGTATCAGCCACAGCGAAGAAAGGGACTTAGTCCGAAACTGCAACGACCATGGGAAGGACCATACAAGGTCATTAAGAAAATCAACGACTTGGTATACAGGATACAACTTACACCCAAAACCAAGCCCAAGGTCGTTCACATGAAGAGGCTGGCTCCATACAAGGGCAAGAGCGCATCGACTTGGATGCGACTGGGATAAGCTATTCGGGGCGAACAGCTTTCAGGAAGGGGGCAGTGTTATAAACCTGCCACTCATACTTTTTGATTGCCCCCTGTAACTACAGTTAAAGAAGCCAGAAAATTCGACTATTTTCAAGATGAACTGAATCACGAAAATTCGATCGTGTTAGAGAAGGACGCACGTAACTATAAAAGCCCCGGTGCGCACCGCGTAAGAATCAGTTCTGATTGAGGTACGACAAGTGCAGTAAACTGTAAAGTCAGGAACTTTATAACCACGTTTGAAAATAATCGTGCCGTATAAGCTTTATTTGGAGTAGTTCGGAGTGTGAAGTAGTGTTAAATTTCGTGTGATTTTTATGTTATTGCGTTTAATAAAATTCGTTAAAGTTCGAAAAAGTAGTCTCACTTATCTGCGAACCCGTATAAGTAACAATATGTAAATACTTACATTGTAAAATCCTTTTTCCCCATCCAGTAGCAATACAGTTTTGAGTAGGAATTAGATTGGGTTCGGGCAAACAAATCTGTCCAATATTCTTGGTAAATCTCAAGTTTTCTTCTAAAACTAGCACAGCCAAGTCGTTTTGCAACGATCCAGCCTTAAAATCTGGATGTCTCAAAATGGCAGCTACTTTAACTATTTGGAATGGCAGCGGCTCCTCGTCGATTCCCAATTTCCATTCGCCACCTTTAATTAGAATATCAGACGTATCCAATCTAAAATAAAATTTTATCACTTAGCTGCCATTTGGAAACATGAAGTTTAATTAACTAACCCTTCAACACAATGAGCTGCAGTTAGGACAGCATTTTTTCTGATAATAGCTCCTCCGCAAAGTAAACTCCTGTTTGAATCCCTAAGGATCATTGCTTGCCAAGAAATTTCAGCGAAATCGGCATCGATTGGGTGGTTTCCTCGAGGACTGGAATGCTAGAGCAAAAGGTTATTGAATTTTTAAATAAATGTAAAAAATTATTACCGGATTTCTGACACCACACTCTTCAGCCTGCCTTTTGGTCCTAGTTTTTCTAGAACGAGCTGATCTGGATATGCGATTGTAGTCCGCTAGAAAAACAGATATGTAGTTTTACAATCTAACTAGTTGAATATGTTTCTATATATTTTCCTGACAACCTTTTAAGATGTGCATAATCTTGAATGGTTTCCCAATAAAAAAGTCCAATATCATCAATCACAAAGTCTATTAATTACGTAATTTACATTTTTATTTGTCATTTTATTGAAAAATCATCCTTTTCCCTATAGAAATTCAAGGTCAATTTAACCATTACAACCTTTCCTTTTTCTTGTCATTTTTTTCAAGGTCAACACATCTGATACTGCCCCTAAGATGTAATGTGAGAATCATTATATTGATATTTATTGTTTTATTTATTGGCTATCATTTCAGTAAGGATTATAAATAGGTTCTTAATTAACTCATTTGAATAAAATAAAACTGCTTCATTAATTATTTTTAAAACGGGTTTATTTATAAAAAAAATATCATCATGGTAGGTATATTACAAATAACATTATTATTGTATAAAAAAGAATATATTACAAAAATTGTACAGCCATTAATAATTATTATAGTCTATATGTAATTTTTTACTTCTTTAACATTTTTTATTATTTCAAACTTAGGGGCAGTATTAGACAAGATTAGAAGGCTTTAAATATGTACTAGATATATTTTCAAAAAAAAACGTAAGATACAAGATGATGTATCTTATCGCATCTAATTATTTTTATACATATTGAAAGCCATTAACCAAAGGGGCAGTAAGTAGGTAAATTTGTACAAAAGACATCTATTTTTTTCAATGGCACTTGAAATTCAATTAATTTATTAAATGGTACCTACTCATCCTGTCAATTTTCTTATGTAGGGCTACTATCAAAAAAAGTGACGGTTACAGCTTGGTAATTTTTACTTCTTTGGTAAAAACTCCAAATTAAATCTTCACAAAATAAAATTTTAAGTTCAACAAAGCATTTGAAAAAGATTGTTTAACAAACGACCCACATATGAAAATATGAAACAGGATGGAAATACAGTAATCCGAGCAATTTGCCTTACATTTACCAAGTGCCCTTTTTTTTTCATTCAAATTACATTTGTTTATTCATAAATATAAGACGACATATTTTCCCCATCACAAGCAATAACCAAAAAATCTACAACTACATCTACAATCTGCAAACATGTAATTTGAACACAAAAAAAAAATTAAATTTTTGTACATTTTAACATAAATTATTATTATTACACAATTACTAAAGCGACATTATTCTACAGCATTCTTTTTATTTTTTATTACCTCTGTATTGTCCAATGGAATCATCTTCGGCATAAGCACCATCGTCTTCGCCGTTAACAAGATTCGCTGACGGCCATGGGTCTTGATAGTTTGGATCTCTACAACATTTACCAAGGGAACCTGATTCGATGTCACGACAAACCTGGAAGGAAACAACGTAAACATTTACATCTGTCTCATATATTTAGAAACTGAAATATGTAGAAAACATTCTGAAGGTTAAGAACCATTGTCAGCAAATTGTTGGAGGACAGAGTGCGTCCGAAATGCATCTGATGGAATTATTTGAGGAGAAGAGAAATATAAGTTTACCTATGAGAGTAGGTAATACATTCTAACAATTATATAGGGATTTCACTTCACTATCAAATGAGCACTAGGAAACAGAGGTAAAAAAGTCAAACTAAGTTCACAAACTCTCAATAAATAAGATTGTCTGCATCCTCTGGTTCTCAACAAACTATGAATGGGTGAAACTGAGATTTGCCACAAATTAAACTAATCAATTCCTTCCTTCAAAAACACGACAAATCAAATAGAATATGCAACAATGTTGTTCACTTACCGTTGTAGGTGCTCTCAACAACTCTTGTTCCTTGGTAAGAACCACAGGTACAGGACTAACCAGACCATCAGCGGTACAATAGATTTCTTGTACGCATTTCAAGGCAGCAGCACATCCAACAGGAATCAACTCGTCGGAATAAGTATTGTTGCCACTATTGTAATTTGGTGAGGTGGGCCTGGGTCCCGATGTAGGGCGAGTTGGTCTCTGAGTACTTGGTCTTATGTAGCTTGGCTCGTTGTTACCGGATTCACCGGTTCTGTCTAAAATTATTAATGGTTTCACAATAATTCTTAAATTAACTATCAAATTCTTATACCTGGTTGGTAAGGTGTACTTTCATATTCGAATGGTGGCGACGGTGTGGGATAGCTGTATCCTGGTCTGCCAGTGGTTGGCGGTCTAAAATTTGTTTTTCCAGGAGTTACATTTGGTTTAACGGTGGATGTTTGTGAGGATGGTTCGAATGTTGTTGTGGGTGGATAAACGCATGCAGTTTTTATAAGTGAGTAAACCTGACCTGGCGGACAAGTAGGATTCTGTTGCGAAGGTCTTTCGCATTTTCCTGAAGGATTAGGTAGGTGGCCGGGTGGGCAGCGGATGCGCTGGCAACCACCTGAGGGAGTTGGAATACTTCCGGGTGGACAATGAGTGGGTTCGGGAGTGGTTACTTCAATATTAGGACTAGTAGGACTTGATGGGTAATAGCAGCCTCTTGGACCAGGAATCTTGCCTGATGGACAACGAGATGTTGGAGGAATGGAAGGAGAGGGTCTGTAGGTGGAAGTACTTGGTCTATAAGTAGTAGGTATCTTAACGTATTCACAGCCAATGCCTGAGGCAGATGGTATCTGTCCTGGAGGACATCTTAATGCAGGCCGAGGTGTTGTTGAAATTCCGACTCTTTCACAGTGTCTTGTAATAGGATTGAACAAAAACCCAGGTCTACATTTAGATGACTTAGGAGTTGTGGTGGGAGTTTCAAAAGGAATAGTGGGCGTCGGATAGCTATAACCAGTTGGTCTACTTGGTCTTGATGTGGTTGGTCTTTCTCTTTCACATTGTCCAGTCTCTGAGTTTAATTCAAAGCCAAAACCGCATGTTGGAGTAGGTGTAGGTGAAACTTTATCTTCACATTGTCTAGTAATTGGATTGAAAGTTTGTCCAATTAGACATCTGGTTGATGGTCGATAGGTTGTAGGAAGTGGAACTGGTGAAGATGGAAGAGGACGTTCGCATTCACCAGTAGCAACGTTTAATCTACTACCACGTGGACATGGCCTTCTCGTAGAAGGGGTTTCTTTTAGGGTAGGATAAGTATATCCCGTAGAAGGCCTAAAAGTAGTGGGTAATGGTTCACAATCGCCTGAATTTACATTAAGCCTGGTTCCAGGAGGACAAGGCTTTGTAGGTGCAGGGGTGGAGTGTGTAATTCGTTCACACCGACCAGTCACTGTATTTCGACTTGTACCTAATGGACAGGGCCTAGAACTAGTTGCGGTTGTTTTAGGTTCACAGCTGTTTGTAGTTGGATTAAATATCGAACCAAATGAACAAGATTTTATTGTTGGCACTGATTTTGGGGTAGTTTTCTCCTCGAAAGGTGTTTTTGGCGTGGAATAGTGATAGCCAGTTGTGGCAGTTGCTGGCATGGTTACTTTTGTAACTTGTTCACATTGACCTGTTGCACTATTGCGTATAGTACCTGTGGGACAAGGTTGAGGTAGTCGTTCACATCTACTTGTAGCAGGGTTATAGATAGTCCCTAATCGACATTGTGAATCTGGTTTGGGAAAAGATTCACATTCACCAGTGAGTGGGTTTATGGACTGACCGAATCCACAAGATTTTGGGGTAGGTCTTGTTTCTTCGAAAGTAACTGAAGGTGTTGGATAAGTGTAACCTGTTTTTGGTGGTTGAGTAGGAGTACTCACACGCTCACATTGATTTAAGAATGGATTTAATGTCTCGCCAAAGCTGCAAGTTTTTTTGGTTGGCGCAACAGGTTTGGGAGTTGTGATTGATTCACATTGGCGAGTGAGTGAGTTTAAACGTTGTCCGAATCCGCATGATCTTTGTGTTGGAATTGAAGGTGTGGGCCGTGGAGTTTGAATTTGTTCACATTGACGAGTTTGAATATTGAATCTTTGTCCAAAACCACATGTAACTGGTTTTGGGGTTGTGCCCCTTTCACAGTGACCAGTAAACTGGTTAACTGTTTCACCGAAGGCACAGATTTTTGGAGTAGGTTTTGGAGAAGGCTTTTCCTCGAAAGTTACTGAAGGTGTGGGATAAGTATAACCAGTCTTTGGTGGTGGTGTAGAAGAAGTTACACGTTCACATTGATTAGTGAAAGGATTTAGAGTCTCGCCAAAACTACAAATCTTTTTGGTAGGTGTAACAGGTCTGGGGGTAGTAATTGATTCACATTGACCAGTGAGTGGGTTCAAACGTTGTCCGAATCCGCAAGACTTTTGTGTTGGGATTGAAGGCGTTGGTCGTGGAGTTTGAATTTGTTCACATTGACCAGTGATTGAGTTTAAATGTTGTCCGAATCCGCAAGATTTTTGTGTTGGGATTGAAGGTGTTGGTCTAGGAGTTTGAATTTGTTCACATTGACCAGTGATTGAGTTTAATCGTTGTCCGAATCCGCAAGATTTTTGTGCCGGGATTGAAGGTGTCGGACGTGGAGTTTGAACTTGTTCACATTGACGAGTTTGAACATTAAATCTTTGTCCAAATCCACATGTAATTGGTTCGGGTGTTGTACCTCTTTCACACTGACCAGTGAACTGGTTAATTGTTTCACCGAAGCCACAGCTTTTTGGAGTAGGTTTCGGAGAAGGCTTTTCCTCAAATGTTACTGAAGGGGTCGGATACGTGTAACCAGTCCTTGGTGGTGGTGTAGAAGTGACAATTTCACATTGATTAGTGAAAGGATTTAGAGTCTCGCCAAAACTACAAATCTTTTTGGTAGGGGTAACAGGTCTGGGGGTAGTAATTGATTCACATTGACCAGTCAGTGGGTTTAAACGTTGTCCGAATCCGCATGACTTTTGCGTTGGGATTGAAGGTGTTGGCCGTGGAGTTTGAATTTGTTCACATTGACCAGTGATTGGGTTTAGTCGTTGTCCGAATCCGCAAGATTTTTGTGTTGGGATTGAAGGTGTTGGTCTAGGAGTTTGAATTTGTTCACATTGACCAGTGATTGGGTTTAATCGTTGTCCGAATCCGCAAGATTTTTGTGTCGGGATGGAAGGTGTTGGCCGTGGAGTTTGCACTTGTTCACATTGACGAGTTTGAACATTGAATCTTTGTCCAAATCCACATGCAATTGGTTTGGGTGTTGTACCTCTTTCACACTGACCAGTGAACTGGTTAATTGCTTCACCGAAGCCACAGCTTTTTGGAGTAGGTTTCGGAGAAGGCTTTTCCTCAAATGTTACTGAAGGGGTCGGATACGTGTAACCAGTCCTTGGTGGTGGTGTAGAAGTGACAATTTCACATTGATTAGTGAAAGGATTTAGAGTCTCGCCAAAACTACAAATCTTTTTGGTAGGGGTAACAGGTCTGGGGGTAGTAATTGATTCACATTGACCAGTCAGTGGGTTTAAACGTTGTCCGAATCCGCATGACTTTTGCGTTGGGATTGAAGGTGTTGGCCGTGGAGTTTGAATTTGTTCACATTGACCAGTGATTGAGTTTAAACGTTGTCCAAATCCGCAAGACTTTTGTGTTGGGATTGAAGGCGTTGGTGGTGGAGTTTGAATTTGTTCACATTTACCAGTGATTGAGTTTAAACGTTGTCCAAATCCGCAAGACTTTTGTGTTGGGATTGAAGGTGTTGGCCGTGGAGTTTGAATTTGTTCACATTGACCAGTGATTGAGTTTAAATGTTGTCCGAATCCGCAAGATTTTTGTGTTGGGATTGAAGGTGTTGGTCTAGGAGTTTGAATTTGTTCACATTGACCAGTGATTGGGTTTAATCGTTGTCCGAATCCGCAAGATTTTTGTGTCGGGATGGAAGGTGTTGGCCGTGGAGTTTGCACTTGTTCACATTGACGAGTTTGAACATTGAATCTTTGTCCAAATCCACATGCAATTGGTTTGGGTGTTGTACCTCTTTCACACTGACCAGTGAACTGGTTAATTGCTTCACCGAAGCCACAGCTTTTTGGAGTAGGTTTCGGAGAAGGCTTTTCCTCAAATGTTACTGAAGGGGTCGGATACGTGTAACCAGTCCTTGGTGGTGGTGTAGAAGTGACAAGTTCACATTGATTCGTGAAAGGATTTAGAGTCTCGCCAAAACTACAAATCTTTTTGGTAGGAGTGACAGGTCTGGGGGTAGTAATTGATTCACATTGACCAGTGAATGAGTTTAAACGTTGTCCAAATCCGCAAGACTTTTGTGTTGGGATTGAAGGTGTTGGTCGTGGAGTTTGAATTTGTTCACATTGACCAGTGATTGAGTTTAAACGTTGTCCGAATCCGCAAGATTTTTGTGTCGGGATTGAAGGTGTTGGGCGTGGGGTTTGAACTTGTTCACATTGACGAGTTTGAGCATTAAATTTTTGTCCAAATCCACATGTAATTGGTTTGGGGGTTGTGCCCCTTTCACACTGACCAGTGAACTGGTTAATTGTTTCACCGAATGCACAGCTTTTTGGAGTAGGTTTAGGAGAAGGCTTCTCCTCAAAAGTTACTGAAGGTGTGGGATAAGTATAACCAGTCTTTGGTGGTGCCGTAGAAGAGGTTACACGTTCACATTGGTTAGTGAAAGGATTAAGAGTCTCGCCAAAACTACAAATCTTTTTGGTAGGAGTAACAGGTCTGGGGGTAGTAATTGATTCACATTGACCAGTGAATGAGTTTAAACGTTGTCCAAATCCGCAAGACTTTTGTGTTGGGATTGAAGGTGTTGGTCGTGGAGTTTGAATTTGTTCACATTGACCAGTGATTGAGTTTAAACGTTGCCCAAATCCGCAAGACTTTTGTGTTGGGATTGAAGGTGTTGGGCGTGGAGTTTGAACTTGTTCACATTGACCTGTGAATGAGTTCAAGCGTTCTCCAAATCCGCAAGATTTTTGTGTTGGGATTGAAGGTGTTGGTGGTGGAGTTTGAATTTGTTCACATTGACCAGTGATTGAATTTAAGCGTTGTCCGAATTCACAAGATTTTTGTGTTGGGATTGAAGGTGTTGGGCGTGGAGTTTGAACTTGTTCACATTGACGAGTTTGAACATTAAATCTTTGTCCAAATCCACATGTAATTGGTTTGGGAGTTGTGCCTCTTTCACACTGACCAGTGAACTGGTTAACTGTTTCACCGAATGCACAGCTTTTTGGAGTAGGTTTGGGAGAAGGCTTTTCCTCAAAGGGTACTGAAGGTGTGGGATAAGTGTAACCAGTTCTTGGTGGTGGTGTAGAAGAAGTTACACGTTCACATTGATTTGTGAGAGAATTTAATTTCTTGCCAAAACCGCAAATCCTTCTGGTCGGCGTAACAGGTCTGGGTGTAGTAACTGATTCACATTGACCAGTGAATGGGTTTAAACGTTGTCCGAAGCCGCATGATTTTTGTATTGGAATTGAAGGTGTTGGCCGTGGAGTTTGAATTTGTTCACATTGACCAGTGAGTGGGTTTAAACGTTGTCCAAATTCGCAAGCTTTTTGGGTTGGGATTGAAGGTGTCGGACGTGGAGTTTGAATTTGTTCACATTGACCAGTGAGTGTGTTTAAACGTTGTCCGAATCCGCATGATTTTTGTGTTGGGATTGAAGGTGTTGGCCGCGGAGTTTGAATTTGTTCACATTGACCAGTGATTGAGTTTAAACGTTGCCCAAATCCACAAGACTTTTGTGTTGGGATTGAAGGTGTTGGGCGTGGAGTTTGAACTTGTTCACATTGACCTGTGAATGAGTTCAAACGTTCTCCAAATCCGCAAGATTTTTGTGTTGGGATTGAAGGTGTTGGGCGTGGAGTTTGAATTTGTTCACATTGACCAGTGATTGAATTTAAACGTTGTCCGAATCCACAATATTTTTGTGTTGGGATTGAAGGTGTTGGGCGTGGAGTTTGAACTTGTTCACATTGACGAGTTTGAACATTAAATCTTTGTCCAAATCCACATGTAATTGGTTTGGGAGTTGTGCCTCTTTCACACTGACGAGTGAACTGGTTAACTGTTTCACCGAATGCACAGCTTTTTGGAGTAGGTTTTGGAGAAGGCTTTTCCTCAAAGGGTACTGAAGGTGTGGGATAAGTGTAACCAGTTCTTGGTGGTGGTGTAGAAGAAGTTACACGTTCACATTGATTTGTGAAAGCATTTAATATCTCACCAAAGCTGCAAGCTTTTTTGGTAGGCGAAATAGGCCTCGGGGTCGTAATTGATTCACATTGACCAGTGAGTGAGCTTAAACGTTGACCGAATCCGCATGTCTTTTGTGTTGGGATTGAAGGTGTTGGCCGTGGAGTTTGAATTTTTTCACATTGGCCAGTGATTGAGTTCAAACGTTGTCCAAATCCGCAAGATTTTTGAGTTGGGATTGAAGGTGTTGGTCGTGGACTTTGAATTTGTTCACACTGACCAGTAATTGAGTTTAATCGTTGTCCGAATCCGCAAGATTTCTGTGTCGGGATTGAAGGTGTTGGCCGTGGAGTTTGAACTAGTTCACATTGACGAGTTTGAACATTAAATCTTTGTCCAAATCCACATGAAATTGGTTTGGGTGTTGTGGCTCTTTCACACTGACCAGTGAACTGGTTAACTGTTTCACCGAAGGCACAGCTTTTTGGAGTAGGTTTTGGAGAAGGCTTTTCCTCGAATGTTACTGACGGTGTGGGATAAGTGTAACCAGTCCTTGGTGGTGGTGTAGATGAAGTTACACGTTCACATTGATTTGTGAGAGAATTTAATTTCTCGCCAAAACCGCAAGTTTTTTTAGTAGGCGTAACTGGTCTGGGGGTAGTAATTGATTCACATTGACCAGTGAGTGAGTTTAAACTTTGTCCGAATCCACAGGATTTTTGTGTTGGGATTGAAGGTGTTGGTCGTGGAGTTTGAATTTGTTCACACTGAACAGTAATTGAGTTTATTCGTTGTCCGAATCCGCAAGATTTTTGTGTCGGGATGGAAGGTGTTGGCCGTGGAGTTTGCACTTGTTCACATTGACGAGTTTGAACATTAAATCTTTGTCCAAATCCACATGTAATTGGTTTGGGTGTTGTGGCTCTTTCACATTGACCAGTAAATTGATTAACAGTTTCACCGAAGGCACAGCTTTTTGGAGTAGGTTTTGGAGAAGGCTTTTCCTCAAATGTTACTGAAGGTGTGGGATAAGGGTAACCAGTCCTTGGTGGTGGTGTAGAAGTAACACGTTCACATTGATTTGTGAGAGAATTTAATTTCTCTCCAAAACCGCAAGTCTTTTTGGTAGGCGTAACAGGTCTGGGGGTAGTAATTGATTCACATTGACCGGTGAACGAGTTTAAACGTTGTCCGAATCCGCAAGATTTTTGTGTTGGGATTGAAGGTGTTGGTCGTGGAGTTTGGATTTGTTCACACTGACCAGTGATTGAATTTAAACGTTGTCCGAAGCCGCAAGATTTTTGTGTTGGGATTAAAGGTGTTGGGCGTGGAGTTTGAACTTGTTCACATTGACCTGTGAATGAGTTTAAACGTTGTCCAAATCCGCAAGATTTTTGTGTTGGGATTGAAGGTGTTGGCCGTGGAGTTTGAATTTGTTCACATTCACCAGTGATTGAGTTTAAACGTTGTCCGAATCCGCAAGATTTTTGTGTTGGGATTGAAGGTGTTGGGCGTGGAGTTTGAACTTGTTCACATTGATGAGTTTGAACATTGAATCTTTGTCCAAATCCACATGTAATTGATTTGGGGGTTGTGCCTCCTTCACACTGACCAGTGAACTGGTTAAGTGCTTCACCGAATGCACAGCTTTTTGGAGAGGGCTTTTCCTCAAATGTTACTGACGGTGTGGGATAAGTATAACCAGTCCTTGGTGGTGGTGTAGAAGAAGTTACACGTTCACATTGGTTTGTGAGAGAATTCAATTTCTCGCCAAAACCGCAAGTTTTTCTGGTCGGCGTAACAGGTTTAGGGGTAGTAATTGATTCACATTGACCGGTGAACGAGTTTAAACGTTGTCCGAAGCTGCAAGATTTTTGTGTTGGGATTGAAGGTGTTGGTCGTGTAGTTTGGATTTGTTCACACTGACCAGTGATTGAGTTTAAACGTTCTCCGAATCCGCAAGATTGTTGCGTTGGGATTGAAGGTGTTGGTCGTGGAGTTTGAATTTGTTCACATTGACCAGTGATTGAGTTTAAACGTTGTCCGAATCCGCAAGATTTTTGAGTTGGGATTGAAGGTGTTGGCCGTGGAGTTTGAACTTGTTCACATTGACGAGTTTGAACATTGAATCTTTGTCCAAATCCACATGCAATTGGCTTGGGGGTTGTGCCCCTTTCACACTGACCAGTAAATTGATTAACAGTTTCACCGAAGGCACAGCTTTTTGGAGTAGGTTTTGGAGAAGGCCTTTCCTCAAATGTTACTGAAGGGGTGGGATACGTGTAACCAGTCCTTGGTGGTGGTGTAGAAGTAAGACGCTCACATTGGTTTGTGAGAGAATTTAATTTCTCGCCAAAACCGCAAGTCTTTTTGGTAGGCGTAACAGGTCTGGGGGTAGTAATTGATTCACATTGACCGGTGAACGAGTTTAAACGTTCTCCGAATCCGCAAGATTTTTGTGTCGGGATTGAAGGTGTTGGGCGTGGAGTTTGAACTTGTTCACACTGACCAGTGATTGAGTTTAAACGTTGTCCGAATCCGCAAGATTTTTGAATTGGGATTGAAGGTGTTGGCCGTGGAGTTTGAACTTGTTCACATTGACGAGTTTGAACATTAAATCTTTGTCCAAATCCACATGTAATTGATGTAGTGATAGTATTCAGAGTTTGACCAAAAGAACAGGTCTTACGTGTGGGTGTTGGTTTTGGTGTGGTTTGTGACTTAGCCTCACAGTGTCCGGTGAAAGTATTAAGTGCAGTACCAGGTTTACAAGTTATAGTAGTGGCAATGGGTTCACATTCGTTAGTAAAAGCATTCAATCTAGTACCAAAACTACAACTTTTTGGTTTTAACGTAGTTGTTCTAATAACCTGTTCGCATTTGTTAGTACTAACACTAAATCTAGTTCCGAATGGGCATGCTTGGGAAGTGGGAAAACTAGGTCTACTAGAGGTTGTAGTAGGCCTAGCTGTTGTTTTGTAACTATACTGACAAACCGCACCGTCCTGACTCAATACTGATCCGGGAGGACATGAGTAGGGTGGAGGTGTAAAACGGCTACCAGGTGTGGTTAGTCTACCAGTGCTGGGCGATGTTTTTTGTGTGGTAGTAGTAAATGGTGCTGGTGAAGGGCGAGTGAAAATTGTGGATGGTTCGGTAGGTACATACGTGTTTGGCGGAAGGTAAGTTCTTGATGTTGTTGAGGGAGGTGGTCTAACGCAATTTCCAGAGGGACCCAGGTAGCTACCGGAAGGACAGATTGGCCTTGGGGGAGGTGGAGGAGTTTCGCATCTTCCGGAAGGAGATTTAACGGTACCAGGAGGACAGGGTTGCGTTGGTGGTGGTGTAGGCGGTGGAGTTGGTCTTTGACATCCTCCAGACGGTGTCGGGAAAGAGCCTGGTGGGCATACTGGTCGAGGTGTTGCTATATCAACACAACCTAAGAAATAGAGGATTAAGTTTTCAACAAATGCCAGATTTCTGATAGTGATAGGCTTGTTGATTTGGGATTATTTTTTCATGTCCCGGTAGAATTAATTTGGCTTACCTCCGTATGGTCCAGGCCTTTGTCCAGGTGGGCACTGAGGTGGTGGTGGCCTAGTAGTTGGCGGCGGTGGTGGGGGTGGTGTTTGAATTGGAACACATCCTTAGGAGAAAAAAAAAAATAGTTCAGTAGGTATAATTTTTTGCTAGGAGTATTATTACAGGTAGATGCGGAGACTTCGTATTTGGGGCGTGATTTCTGAGATTTCTACATGTGGTGTTGCCTGATTCTCATAATTTCTCTTACTTAGGGATACGTAGATGTGGTAACGTATGTTTTATATGTATCAATATTGCTACAGAAAAGTTAAAATACTGACATTTGTCCTATTCCTTGCCACAGATTAGTATCACAAGCAAACTTTAATATCTTTGGATTTGACATCCAAACTGTTTTGACAAGTCTAGTTTTCGCATTCTTTCACGTCCTGCTTCCCTTTTCAATGCGTGAAGGTGCAACTTTCCGCACCCAAATGTCTGCAAAAAGTTACTATCTTCCGCACGATAGTAGAGAAAACTTTTAAAATGGGCTTACCTCCGTAAGGACCAGGCCTTTGTCCAGGTGGGCACTGAGGTGGTGGTGGCCTAGTAGTTGGCGGTGGTGGTGGAGGTGGTGTTTGAATTGGAACACATCCTTAGGAAAAAAAATAGTTCAGTAGGTATAACTTTTCGTTTTTGGGGCGTCATTTCTGAGATTTCTACATGTGGTCTTGCTTGATTTTGATAATTTCTCTCACTTAGGTATACGCAGATTTGGTAACGTATGTTTTATATCAATATTACTACAGAAAATTTGTTAAAATACTCACATTTTTCCGATTCATTGCCACAGATTTTCACAAGCAAACTTTAATTTCTTTGGATTTGACATCCAAACTGTTTTGAAAAGACTATTTTTCGCATTCTTTCACTTCCTGCTTCCCTTTTCAATGCGTTAAGGTGCAACTTTCCGCACCCAAATGTTTTTGCATAAAGTTACTATTTTCCGCATGATAATAGAAAAACCATTAAAATGGGCTTACCTCCGTAAGGACCAGGCTTTTGTCCTGGTGGACACTGTGGTGGTGGTGGTCTAGTAGTTGGTGGTGGCGGTGGGGGTGGTGTTTGGATTGGAACACATCCTAATAAAAATCAAAAAAATGTTTTCTCCATCTTGTTTACTAACAAAACCAAATGTTTCTAGCAGAGAACTTGTTGCATTCATTTTCAGTGGGAAAACTGATTTTACTTGAAGAAGTTATTTCAGTGTGGAAAAGTGCAGGTACGGAAACCCAAATGTCTGCATAGTGACTTATTTCTCTTTCCGCAGGAAACTAGAGAATGTTTATAACTTCGGCTTACCTCCGTAAGGACCAGGCTTTTGTCCTGGTGGACATTGTGGTGGGGGTGGTCTGGTGGTTGGCGGTGGTGGTGGAGGCGGTGTTTGAATTGGAACACATCCTAGTAAAAAAATGTCAATTGATATCTTCGCCTCAGACCAAAAGTTTGAAATTTATTGTTCAGTATATATTTTCCGGCGCAGTTTCACTTTCTGCATCCATTTTCAGTGCGAAAATTGATTTCAGTGAAAAAAGTGAGTTCAGTGCGAAAAAATGTCTGCATAAAGGGTGTACCTACTTTCTGCATCTCAGTAAATAAATGTATAATTTGGGCTTACCTCCATAAGGACCAGGCCTTTGTCCTGGTGGACACTGTGGTGGGGGTGGTCTAGTAGTTGGCGGTGGTGGTGGGGGTGGTGTTTGGATTGGAACACATCCTAATAATAAATAAATGTTTTTCCATCTTTCTTTTCAACAAGACTAAACTATAATTTTTGTATAGGAAGAGCCAACGCAAAGTTTTAATATGGCAAATTTATGTTTTTTTTTTTAACGAATATATTTGACTTAGAATTTGAATTTGTCTCACCTCCATATGGTCCAGGTCTTTGTCCAGGAGGGCACTGTGGTGGTGGTGGCCTAGTAGTTGGTGGAGGTGGAGTTTGAATTATAGTACATTGTCCGAAAGGTCCAGGTTTGTATCCTACAAATGGAGAAAAAAAAAACTTACATTTTAGATTTCAGTTATCACTCGTAGATAGACGTAGGAAATCAGCGCAAGATGGTTTTTATATACGGACAATTCAGCTTAGGAAATCTAACCACAAAACCGAACTGTATCGGTTTTCTGAATATGAACATTTTTACTAACCTGGTGCACAAGTAACAGGCGGTGGTGGTGGACGAGTTTGAATATTTTCACAACCTCCGAACGGTGTTTCTTTTTGTCCAGGTCCACATTTCACAACTGGAATACATTCACCGTTGGGTCCTTCCCTTTCTCCAGCGCCACAATACGGTTTTTCAGTTGGAGTTGGCGGAGTTGCAATTGGAACGCATCCACCATATGGACCTTGTTGTGTGCCTGGCGGACACTGAGGCCTTGGAGTTGGTGTTGGTGGAGTTTGAATTGGTACGCATCCTAATAAAAAATTGTGTGAATATTTTTTTGTACACTTGTGTTTGACTTAATATTTAACACTGTCGTATGGAAAATTAATTTATAATGTTTGAATTTGTTTTTACCTCCGTATGGGCCAGGCCTTTGTCCTGATGGGCACTGTGGTGGTGGTGGCCTAGTCGTTGGTGGTGGTGGTGGGGGTGGAGTTTGGATTGGAACACATCCTAATTGATAGAAAGTAATTTCTTTACTAATTTCTTTTCAGAATCATTGAAATAGCTTTATTTATTATAAGTTTTATAGTTCCAAGAGAGCTATAACAAAAGTACGTATTGACTAAACTTTCTCCAAGAAGTATCAACAATTTCTTTTTTGATCCTCGCGGACATTTCCTATAAAGAAGAGTACTTAGTCATATTATATAGGTAGATGTGCCTTAATGGAGTAGGTAGGATTGGTATGTTATAGATACCCAAGAGAATATTCAAGTAGATGTGCAGTAAAAATAGGGTACATAATGAGTAAAAATAGAGAATCTAATGAGGCTATATCATTACGATAAGTAGGTACAACAATAGAAATAGGCTTTCAAAGGCTGCACAATGGTCCGCATTTCGGGCAGGGCGTAGACAGTCAAATGCTTTCGACAAGTCACTGAAAACTTCTGCAGAAACTATGCTTCCATTCAAAAACCTCATGAAGTCTCTTAAGGAGGAAAATGTTGGAAATCGTAACCCTTTTACAGCATCAGCCAGACCCACCAAACAGCGCAATAGGAATGTTGGATAAGTATTAATATAGCTTCACTACTAGTTCTTTCAACGAAACCTCTCTAATGTATTTGATAACTACAATTTGGTCTTACCTCCGTGGGGTCCGGGCCTTTGACCGGGTGGACAACTAGGTGGTGGCGGCCTTGTAGTTGGTGGTGGTGGTGGGGGTGGGGTTTGGATTGGAACACATCCTAATACACAAAAGCTAGTTTAATCACAGATTGCGAAGCGGTTGGATGCAGAAACAAACATGTTCAAGCATGACAAGTTTATATCCCCATAACCTTGTTAAATTCAAGTATAGGTATCGTTTTACCTCCATAAGGTCCAGGCTTCTGTCCTGGTGGACATTGCGGTGGTGGCGGTCTTGTAGTGGGTGGTGGTGGTAGGGGTCTTGTTTGGATTGGAACACATCCTGATTCAAAAAAAGTAGAGCGTGAAATTGGTGAAAAAAATTTAAAAATATATTTTTTTCTAGAGACACGCATGTGATACGAAAAGCGACACCTTTCCAAAGGAGGGTAAGTTTAACTTTTCTTAACAAAAGTGAGAAGCTACTATTGCTATAGCCTCGTGAAGAAGAGTGCCACTTTCAGCATATGTTTACGGTTTAGTTTCATGTATTAATCGGGTCTTACCTCCGTATGGTCCAGGTTTCTGGCCAGGGGGACATTGTGGTGGTGGTGGTCTAGTAGTCGGAGGTGGTGGTGGAGGTCTAGTTTGAATCTGAACACATTGTCCAAATGGTCCAAGTTGGTAGCCTTAAATTTTGAATTATGAATGACTGACTACAAACAAAACCACCTATTTACCTGGTGCACAACTAATAGGTGTTGGCGTTGGTGGTGGAGGTGTTGGAATACTTTCACATCCTCCAAATGGCGTTTCTCTCTGTCCAGGACCACATACTACTACTGGAATACACTCTCCGTTGGGTCCTTCCCTTTCTCCAGTTCCACAGTATGGTTTTTCAGTAGGTGTTGGTGGAGTTGCAATTGGAACGCATCCACCATATGGCCCTTGTTTCGTGCCAGGCGGGCACTGAGGTCTGGGAGTTGGAGGCGGAGGAGTTGCAACTGGTACACATCCACCGTATGGACCGGGTTTTTGGCCAGATGGGCATTGTGGTGGTGGTGGTCTGGTAGTTGGTGGTGGTGGAGTTTGGATTGGAACGCAACCTGGATAAAATAATAGTATCTAATAATAATCACTGCACGGATACTCCAGACTATGTTGCAACTGAGTTTGATATTTGTTATTGCTTTTTTTTAACTTCTGGCACAAAAAAAATCCCTATACTCATTAGTTTTTCACTCTGCCATGTTTGGCAATTTGGTTTAGAATATTTTCAGTCTTACCTCCATATGGACCCGGTTTTTGTCCAGGAGGACACTGTGGTGGGGGTGGCCTAGTGGTAGGTGGTGGTGGTGGTGGTGGAGGTGTTTGGATAGGAACACATCCTAATAAAAAAAAATGCTATCATTTCGGAATAAGTAGTGTTTGCACCTATTTCGCATGCAAGCTTTTAATGAATTATTTTGGTTAACATAAACGAGCGAAACTAGCCCACCTTACCTTTTGGTCAATAATTATATAAACAGTTATGATACAGATTAGGCCAAAACTGGGAATAGTTTTAAAGAAAAGTTACCAACGTATAAGCAAAACGCTTTCATTATAAATTAGGAAAATTGATTTTACCTCCATAAGGACCGGGTTTTTGTCCTGGTGGACACTGTGGTGGTGGTGGCCTAGTAGTTGGTGGTGGTGGTGGAGGTGGGGTTTGGATCGGAACACAACCTAAAAAAAGGATATGAGTCAGAAAGACATGGTGTTTTACGAAAAATAATAATATATAGTATTTCCAAACTCAATTGGAACAAGGTACCAACTGGTGGCTGACTGGTCACTGGAAATTTCCATACGAAATACACTTCCACTAGTTACCCACCAGTTATAATTTATGTTTGTTACGATAAATTTATCATATACGTAACATGTTCCAACTCTTCTTATATTTATTATAAGGTTGTATTTTTCCAATTTAGAATCAGCCAAATAATAATTCCTAATAATCTAGAATATCCACAAAGTTCAAAATAGTACAAGTACTGCCATCTATCCATCATGTGCGTAAATGCAAATATTTTTTATTTATTTACCAGTACTGCCATCTAGTACCTGATGGATTTATTATTCAAAGTATGATTTTAATTATTTCGCATTTGACAGTCATTTGTATTTTTATTGAAAGAAATTATATTTGTCTCACTTTTAGCAAATGGATATATTTCTGTCTTTCTCTAACTTCTGATTCTGAACTAATCATTTTTAACAGTTTTTTATTTTTGACATAAGCTTAATTTAAATTATTATAATTTGTAAGCAATTAAAATAATTCTAGTGGATTTTTATCCATTCTCTTTTATTCCACGTGGGTTTTCATTGTGTTTTCATTGTAAAGTGAATATGATCTTTTGGGTGTACTCGTCTGATTGGTTGAATTGGTTAAAATGCAGTTAAGTATAAAAAACACAGGATCGTTTTCCTGTGGGCTTTGGTTTCTAAAACGTTCTCTTTCCTCGATAGAAGTCTGGCAGGCAAGTCCTCTTTATTTTGAATAATTTTTGCTTTGTATTTTTGGATTCTCTCGTATAGATTTTTCAATATATTTTGCTATCAATTCATATTATCATATCATTGTTAAGTTTTTACCTAATAAATTTTATCTTATCTATTTTTGAAATATAAATATTATATTTTAATTTTTTTATCTAGTTGTTGGCTTCCATTTTGTGTGAGTGCTGATTGGTAGTGCCACGTTTATCTGAGGTAAGTCAATTCAGATTTTTGGACTTTAAATAGGTACTGCTGCTCTGGTTTTCAGAATCAATTGTTAGTGTGGGAATATTGGACCATTTGCTCTAAAAAGAATCGGTGAAAACCAAATTTGTGTGTCCATCCCTATCAACTCTTTATTGAATCCAGGCAGAGGCCTGAATAGCCATTTTCTGTTTGACTCCATCAATTATTATCTCGACTAAAGGGTGTAATATTTTTTAATAGAAATCCAGACAGGTCAAAAATTCAGGTAAAACGTTTTAATAAAAAACATCTCAAGAATTTTGACATATTCTGGATTTGATTGATTCCACCGTCAGGTTTATCCAGTAGTATATCTATTGTGGCTACCTTAATTTAAAAAGAAAATTTTTGTCTATTTGGGGGAGAATCCAACGATTTAATTTCTTATTGTTTCACCTTATTTCATATTTTTTGCCTGCCAGAGTTACTGTCAGGAAAGCAGCATTTTGCTCAATCATAACGAGCATTTTAATTTAATCTTGTTATTATTTTAATTTTATTATTATCTTAGCATTATTCTTAATTATTTGATTGTATTTTTTTTATATTAAAATATATTGTATATATATTTTTTTTTCAACTTGCAATAGCTGTTCATACCTGATTCTGTTGGAAGGGAGTGTCTGTACAACAATCGTTTTATATTAAATTTCAATTTCAATTTCCTTTGCAAGACACTCATTTTTTGACAGAATTCAGGGATCTAATATTCCAAATATTGGTGAACGTGATACTGCCTTATTCTTTTCTGGTTACCTACTCCACATAAAGATCACTGTTTGGAGTCTGGATCAGCTGAAGTGACGTCACTCCAGCATTCTATCCTCTTCCTGGATACAGGAAACAACACGAACAGCTCTAATTCACGAAAGTGAAACCCCAACACCCATTGAAGAGCTCCGGATTGGAAAGGTATACGGTATTAGATTCACCAGAAAAAACAAGCTGTCAACACTAAAATTTTACGGAAACGAATATTTACTGTTACTCTATATTACAGAACATTGTAAATGAAATAAAATTATTGTTTGTTGGATTTTGAGTGGTTTTATTTGCACATAAAGGGACTACACGTTATCTTAATTTTTTTTTTTGAATTCCACGACCCTGGGTTATCTTGTCTTGAAGTAACAAATGTCAATTAATTTGTAACATGTTCACCTTGTACCAATTCACTTTAGAAAAACTATACCAGTTAACATCAATTATATACTAGATGTGCGGCAAACATTCTCATCAGCACTCTCAAAAATGTTTGATTAAAATTTGTTCTTACCTCCGTAAGGACCAGGTTTCTGTCCTGGTCCGCATTGTGGTCTTGGACTTGGAGTGGGAACGTTTTCACATCCTCCGAACGGAGTTTCTTTTTGTCCGGGTCCGCATTCTTTTATGGGAATGCATTCTCCATTGGGTCCTTCTCTTTCTCCAGCTCCACAATAAGGTTTTTCAGTAGGTGTCGGTGGAGTTGCGATCGGGACACATCCTCCGTACGGGCCTTGTTTTGTACCAGGGGGGCACTGAGGTGGCGGTGGTCTAGTAGTTGGTGGGGGTGGTGTTTGAATAGGCACACATCCTAATAAAACAAAAATATATTTATTTACATCAAGTGTCACTTAGTCCTTTTACTGCTAAAACCATATAATTTTTAGTAGCATAACAATAAGTCTCACCTCCATATGGTCCTGGTTTTTGACCAGGAGGACATTGTGGTGAGGGTGGCCTAGTAGTTGGTGGTGGTGGTGGAGGTGGGGTTTGAATTGGAACACATCCTTGAAAAAAAGATTACATAGGTATTAGGAAAGTCTCATATTTCGTACAAATGTGATAAGTATTCTATATATGCAGTGTAAAGCAGCAATTTTCACACAATGCTTTATGAACCTTGCGAGTTTGAAAATATTTCTAAACAAATACCTACCTCCATAAGGTCCAGGCCTCTGTCCTGGTGGACATTCTGGTGGAGGTGGTCTAGTAGTTGGTGGTGGTGGAGTATGGATTGGCACGCATCCACCGTATGGACCGGGTTTTTGGCCTGGGGGGCATTGTGGTGGTGGTGGTCTTGTAGTTGGTGGTGGTGGAGTTTGGATTGGAACACATCCTATAATGAAAATTGGGAGTTTTTTCTATTAGCAAGTGCAATCCAATTTTTTTAGGAATGTTTCAACTCTTCCAACAAGCGCAAAAATAAGAAAAAGTTCACATTGCCCTGAGAATTCAACGTGAGAAAAATTTGGTGAAAAAATTTGGAAACGTATAAAGTTTTTGAAGCATTCTCAATTTGATCTTACCTCCGTATGGTCCTGGTTTCTGACCAGGAGGACATTGTGGTGGTGGTGGTGGTCTTGTAGTTGGTGGTGGTGGAGTTTGGATTGGAACACATCCTAATAAACAAAAATTGCCACTTAATGAGAGATCTGTCTTTTTCCACACCACATGATTGTGTGTAGAATGAAGAACAGCCCGCAAGTGTTATAAACTGAATTATTTTAGGAATTTTTTAAATAAAGTGAAATAATCTACATCTAAGGCAACTTTCAGAACCAGCGTTTGGTGCTAAAAAAATGTTAAGCAGGACATTGTAACAAAATCAATAGCAAATTCATATTATCGGTTCAAGTTCATCTTTCGTAGGAAAAGTTTTATTTTTATAGATAGCTAAAATGTGACCCTAATGAAATTTACAATCACATGGAGTTCTGCGAACGGCCTAATCTGTTCGAGGGTAAAAATCACTTGAAAGCCAGAAAAGTATCGAATTATATAGCTTTAAGATTATTATTGCTGCAACCCAAAATTGATAAATATATAGACAAAATTTAGGTTTTCCTAACTGAACCAGATCCCATGTGGTTGTAATAATTTATTCAAAGTCAAGGATAATCTCTGACAAACTACGTTTTATGACGAACCCAGATGTTAGAGAATGATATCTATATATTCGAAGCATATTTGTGTGTAGCGAAGAAATAATTCAGCTGGATTTTTAAGATACAATAACCAATTGTAACACAATATAATTATCAAGGGTTATTACTTGAGTGAAATGTTAACTGTAAGATAGTCAAATACTTAGTTATAATTAAGATATAGGTAGGTTAAAATAGGAGTAATTTTGAGTCTCTAATAATACCTTTTAATAACCACTCCAAGAAGATAAGAAAGAAGATTTCCTTCAGATTGTCTCCGGTTCAGAAAACTGTTATTTACTGTTTCAGATCAAATTTACTTTTCAGCATAATTTACCACGAAATTTCAAGATGTGACAGAATTATTCACGCTACCAAAATATCAATTTTTACATAACATCTCAATTTTGTCACAACCTTGATTTCAAATCTCATTTACCTCCATATGGACCAGGCCTTTGTCCTGGTGGACATTGTGGTCTAGTAGTTGGTGGTGGTGGAGTTTGGATTGGCACGCATCCTCCATAAGGTCCCGGCCTTTCTCCAGATGGACATTCGATTTTCAGCTTCTCGCATCCACCGGAAGGAGTTTCTCTTGTACCAGGTGGGCAGGGCTCTTTAACAGGAGCGCATCTTCCATAATTGTTCAGATACTGACCGGGAGGACACGATGGTCTTGGAGTGGTTGAAGTTTCAGCTAAAACAAATTTTTTAGTTTAAGTTAGTCATGGATGTAATAAATATACTCACGATGGGGTGGTAAATAGTCAAGCCCATCTAAATTGGAAAATCTGGCATCGTCACCAAAATTGACATTGGAATAGTCAGGGGTGCTAGAGTAAACTGCATCACTGGCAGCTGCGGTTATATCTCTTACAGGTTTAATAGTCGAGGAACCATCAAAATCACCAATAAAGTTTAATTGTTTTCTGATACCTTCTTGACCTGAGTGAACGATCTGAAAATAAACGTATTGAAACTTACTTTATTATCTAAGCTAGCGGCTAGGTACTTACCATAACTTGTTCAGGGGTAAGTCCATCTTTTCCAATAATTTTAGATTTTCCAGAAGTGAAAATCAATTCGTTGATATGTTCTGCCAATGAGCTCTTTTGTTGTGAGGGCAATTGGCAACAAACTTCATTTTTGTTGCAAGCGTTGCTCTGCAATTAGGTAAGTTTTTGGTTTTATAATAAAATTTATCGATAAGTGTCATCATAAAAACTTTTATTGATAATTTACCCCAAAAAAATCTTGATCCCAAATTATATAAATAAAGTGAATATCGTATTACATATCGGATTGTTGCACATCGGCAAGATATTTTTGGATTATTTAACACGTGCGTGGGTGATGCAGAAAACTGGTAATCGGTATGTTACCACCGATGTCCTACATATTTTAGGCTGGTTTACTTAAAAAAGCAATGTCTTACGTTACGTGCATAAGCTTCTTTATGTTAATTCATTTATTAAATTTATTCTTGTCCACCTTCCGAAAAACCTCCTAGCCAAAACCTTCAAAATTTATTTATAGTAAATAACCTTTTCTAAAATTCTGTAAATGGATCCTGGTAGGTCTGCTGATAATAATAGATTATGGGGAATTTTTAATGACATTTTATATATTGTAGTTATCCTTGATAACAAATTCAATATCGTCTCTATAAACAGAAGTTTTGTCATCTTAAATAATTAAGATTCCGGTAAACCAGTGTTGCCAAAGTCCACATCATATGGGATTCTTTTTAATTAGTTGACTGATAAATTTTAAAAACTACAAAAAAACAAAACTGTTCAAATCCCATATGATGCAGACTATGTAAGTGTGATAAGTTAGCAATAATCAATACTTGCAACGAAATTTACCAAATGGATTGCCCTTTACTTTTGAAATATGCAGCAACATTTTCCTCGTAAGATAAATTAGGCTCGATAATTTATGATCACTGTGGTAGACCTTTCTATAGGCAAATATTAAATGATCAATTAAAATCTTACTTCACCACAAAACCAATTATCAAATTAGTAAAAATAAAGACAAGTCGTGTCTTCTAAATACCTAACTATTAATTCCCTTTCCGACTATTAATTATTCAAAATTTGTCGTGCCCAAAGCGGCACGAAAAATACGCATTTCGCAATCCCAAAGAAAGCGGTAGCGCAATATTTTTGCATGTGATATATTGGGAAAAGTACCTCAAGTAACCTACAATACTATCTTCCCAACCAAAAGGTTACGGCACTATATTGTTCGAATACCGATCGTACAGACGTAATTGTCACTTCGATCAGGATCTTGTGGTATAATTTATTGGTCGCGTGCTTTGGTACTTTTCATCTTTTTTTTTTTTGTTCTTGAAGAAAAGGTACCACTTTTACTTATAACTCATATTATCTTTTGACATAAAAATAAATTCATTGTATTCGGCAATATAAGAAAGTTTATTAGCTGCCGTTGCAGGCGTGGCAAAGTTATTTTAATTACATTTACGTTTGATCACACTCTGACTGATTTAAAGATATAAAGAGACTCCAGTACTACACAAGTACCTCCTTAAAGTCCTAAAAATTATATGCAAAAGTGAAAGTTTTTTTTTGGGATTATGATCATATTTTTTAAATTTAATCTGGCATAATTTTAAAGTGTCTCATAATTTAGCTATTTAATTTATTGGTACCTTTGGACACACCTGTACTTTTTATTGCATAAATTGGTTTAGTGTTATTATGCAAATTAATTATGTTTTGAAAAATAGGAACCTTATTACACGCAGATGATGGAAAGTGGTTTGATAATTTTAACTTTTGTTATGCCAGAATTTCCGGAGTGATTATTCTGGATTAAATTAATATAAATTGAATTTTTATGGAAAAAAGCTTGCCATTAATCGTTTATCTTACAGCTTTTCCTAGGACCAAAATAGCAAAATAGACGACGCCACGAAAATTCGTAGACAACACTAAATAGGATGAAAGTGTACCTAATGCCTACATCAAAATATTTTTATTTGAAACCATATTAAGTATTGATAATATATTTCTGGATTTTTAAAAGTTTGAACCTGCTATTTTAATTACTTTCCATTCTCACTCTTCTTCTCATTATCAAGTAACCATTCTATTGCAAATTACAAGTTTCTACCAACAGTAGGTATAAAAAAAGTTTATGGGACATCTTCGCCAAACATAGTCGCAATAAATTGCGGCAATTCTCATAGAAAAATGTTGATATATCCATAGTCATTGTTACTTCATCATCAGCGTGTCTTTAATTTCATTCGTTTGCTAGTCTTTTGACCTATGATTATGATTGACTAGAAAGTTAAACTGCCATTTTTTATATGACCTCTGACTAGTAATAGACAGTATCTTCAATTTATTATTTATAACTAATATTTGGTGATTTTTTCTATAAAAGATTAGATTTAATAAGGCGATTATATTGTCAACTAGCTACTTAGGAAAGGAGGAACCGGTATTCAACCTTATTAATTTAATTGCCGATTCGATCGGATGTTTATTGGAATTCAGCAATAAATTCATATAAATAGTGGGCCAAGCTGAGCAACAGACAGACGAACCAGTGTGAGTACCGCCACCCTGGGAAATCCCCTCTGGGAAACTGTATCGTCATCTAGTGTAAGTACCGCCACCCTGGGTTAGGTTAGGTCTCTTGTGAGTGGTCCGATATCGGCTCTTCTACTGCGACCTTCGGTCTATTGTGGTTCATTCCAAGTTCATATTTCCCCCATCAGTCCAGCCCTTCTTATGAAGGTGGATATAAGTGTGGCAGCATGCTTTATGTATTCGGGTCGAACAGCTGACTCCCCGAAAACAGCATGTCTGATTCTGCCTATCGCCGGTCACGTGCATTGGACATGTTCTGCAATTTCGTCCTCTTCCATGCATAGGCGACACTCGGCACTTTGTGCTATTCCGATCCTGTGCATGTTATAACGGAGTCTGCAGTGTGCAGTGTACAGACCCACAAGTGCTTTGAGGCTCTTCCTCCCCATTCCCAGAAGTATGTCTGCCACTTTCCCCCCTTTTGGACAGAGTATAAAGGATTTTGCATGGTTCATGCCTGGTAGTCTCGACCAATATTGTTTGGCCTCTGTATTGGCCCAGGTCGAGATTGTGAAGTTAGCCGTATTCAGGGCAATTCTAAGTACTGGCTCCGGTCCAATGAAGTTGAGCTCCTGCTTTTGCATGTGGGTCCGGTTTTTCGTTGCCTTCTTGTCCGGTATGTCCCGGTATACACACTATTGAAACGTTGTTCTTTTCCCGTAGCTGGATTAGGGCTTGCTTGCAGTTCCATAGTGTTTCCGACGTGTAATGTATCGATGCCAGTGCTTTTTGCGCAGCTTGGCTATCAGAAAATATTTTTCATCTACTTGTGCGTTTGTTGCTTTTCCAGCAGCTTTTTCGCGCCAAGCTCGATGGCCAGCAGTTCGGCCTGAAATATGGATGCGTCTTTGCCAAGGCTGACCGAAATTCCCAGCCTTGATTTTTCATCATATACCCCTGCTCCGACACCATGCTATACCCCTGCTCCGACACCATGCTTAGTTTTGAAGCCATCTGTGTACAGGCAGAGATCTGCCCTCAGTAGCTTGGTCCTGACGCTGGCCCATAGCTCTCTGTTGGGAATCATTGTTTTGAAGGCAAACCAAAGTTGGTTTTCTTTGGCATTATGTCAGAAGGCATGCTAAGGGTGCCGTGTCGATTTATTTCATCCACAAGCACCCTGTGTTGCATTGCGCTTCTCCCCTCCAACGTGCTTTTTCGAAAGGTTGACCTCATTGTTTCCCTCTTCACGTATATGTGGAGTGGAGTCAGGTTTATGAGGACTTCCATAGCTGCTGTAGGCGTGGTGCGCAACGCTCCCGTTATCGCCAGGCAAGCTATTCTCTGTAGTCCGCTAAGTGTGGCTTGGGCCCTTTTCTGATTCGCCTCGCCCCACCATACTACAGAGCCATAGGTTATCATTGGTCTGATAACCATGGTGAATCTGTTTTGGAATTGTTCCCCAGGTCTTTCCTCAGATCCTGTGGCAATTCCAAAGCGATAATTTTGTCTTTTGGATTACTTTTTCCAAATGAGCGTTCCAGTTTAGAGTCATTCAAATTGACTCCCAAATACTTTGCTTTATTTGAGAATGGTACTAATTCTCCCCGAATAGTTAGGGGTACCAAGTTATCAAGTTTTCTTCTCCTGGTCAAGGGTACTATGCCCATTTTGTGAGGATTGATTGTCATTTCCTCTCTCTTGCACCAATCAAGCACGCAGTCTAGCACATCTTGGAGTGTAGCTGATACCCTCATCTCAGAATTACCGTTGGCTATTATAACTAGATCGTCCGCATATGCTTGAATCTTGACCCCACGTAGTTGTATCACGGCCAGGAGGTCATCTACTAGAAGTGACCACAAAAGCGGAGAGAGGCGGCCTGAACCTAACCGTTTCCCCCAGAGAGAAGTCGTTATCACTTTACCGATTAGCATGTTCCTAATCCAGTTACAAATTAGCGGGTCGATGCCTCTAGATTTTGTTGCCTCGTAAAGGGAACTTGGCATCGCCTTGTTGAAAGCTTCCTCTATGTCCAAAAAGGCAGCAAGTGCAATGCTCTTACGTTCCAGAGAGTCGTCTATACTAGCGACCAGGTTACTAAGAGCCAACTCTGTGGACTTTCCTGCCTGATAGGTTGATGGGTACTAAGAGGGTTAGCCCTGAGCGCCTTCCCCTCAATCCACTCATCCAGCACTTTTTCTAAAGTTTTCAAGAGGAACGATGTCAGACTTATTGGTCTGAATGATTGGGGTGCCGTTTCTTTGCGCTCCGCTTTAGGGATATAGATCACGTTGGTAGCTGTCCAGCTTGGTGAAATATGGTTCCACACCAGACTGGCTCTGAAGAGTCTTATTAGGAATGGAAGGAGGATCCCAAGTCCGTTCTGTAGCAGAGCAGGGGAAATGCCGTCTTCCCCAGGCGATTTAAAAGGGTGGAATGTTAGGATCGCCCCTTTTATGGCCGCCGCTGTAATTATTTTGTTGGCCGTCAACTAGTCTTCTCTTCCAGGTCGTTTAATCCGATCACCGGGTTGGGTATCCTGGAGGCCATTCATCAGCAGACTTCCTAGGAAGTGGTTCTCTGCGAGAATCTCTAACGTTTTTTTTCTAGATTATGTGCGCACGCTCTTTTGACAGGCTCTTGTAGATTCGCGCACTGCTAGGCACATTTATTATGCCCTCGCATAGCTTCCTCCAAGATTCTGTTTTTGCCTTTCTTATTGCTTTGTTGTAATTCGTTAGAGCAGCACTATAGATTTCCCAGTTACCTGTTGTTTTAGCTCGATTAAACAATTTCTGTACTTCCTCAATTTATTTAGGCTATTGTTCCACCAGGGTGTGCTTCTGTTATCTTTTTTAAGCCTTAGTGGACAGTTTTCTTGAAAAACTGATATGGTGACATCGGTTATTCGGTCCGCCATGTAATCCAGCTGATCACGATCTCTGATGGACAAAGTGAAGTCACGCAAGTTATTTCCAAGGGACGTTCTATATCCGTCCCAACCGCCACCTCTGAAAGCCCCTCTAGATAAGAATCAGTTAAACGACGATTACCATTTAACGTTACATTAGCATTAAACAGACATCCCTTCCTAAGTAGCGTCAAACGTGTCGTCCTTCCCACGGAAGAGCATGCATCCTGAAGGATCCATGACGAAATGACTTCAGAGCAAATATACACCTTTTTATATAAAACTGAGCGATTTTCTCTCCATCTATGCACCCTACATCCCCCATCACAGAGAGGCTGTGACAATATTCAGTATTGAAATAAATACGTCCAAATAACAAAATCAAGATTTTATTGAATCGCTCCCACAAAATCGCCAAGTGAAATTAAATTGCTAGGTATTCTCCGTTGTTATACCACAAGCTGAAGAAAGCAAAAGTAGGCACATTCGATACGATGATATTAAGTGCGTTTTTTACTTATAAATTTGCACTTTACGTAAGTTGAAGGCCGGAGGCTGTAATATGCTAATGAAATTCAATGAAACATTGACTAGGATTACCCGATATTATGAGAATACACGCGTGTGACTAGACCAGAGAGGCATATATTTTTAATTTAAAAAAAATGGCTTGTTTAGCACAATTATTTATTGATGACAATAATTTTTAATTAAAAAATATAATACTTAGTCACCTTCAATAGCTAATAGCTGTCGCATCTTATGAGGATTTTTCTTTCAAAATGATTATTTATAAAGTTATTTACGCTTCAAAGTATATAGGTGATGTTTCAGCTTAAGGTTAAAACGCAATCAATTACTAATATGGGTAAACTGGGTCATAACCTGGTGACTTATTGGTAAAATTGTGATCTCACATCTCAAGTACTTTATTCTATCGTAATGATACATAGTTTCAAAATAAAAAAATTTTTGTTACGTAATTTTATTTTAATAATTAAATATTCAAAATTTGACTTACATTGCTTTGTACAGCTCCTCTTACTACCACTCCGTTGACGCAGTTCTCTTTGGCGACGCATACTTTATTCCCGACGCACTGCGCAGCTCCTGAAACAGCGATGGAAGATTGATAGCCGATCTTCTTAAGCCCTTTAAAGGGCACCGATGGCTGTACGCCGATAAAGCCGTTCTCGTCACGTATTAAGTCCCCATTGGCTGTTAACAAACAGACCAATATAAGGACAAAGAACAAACAAGGACAGTGAAAATTATTTTATGAATGAGGAAAGATGAGACTCGCCAGATAGTTTTTTTCCTCATTCTTATCACAATTTCAAATGCGGTCTTACCACTTAAACCCAACACGTTTAGATTTAGACCAATTTTTCCTTCGTCAGAATTTTGACTGTGTCTTGAGGCTCCTGATGTTGAAAAGTTGGCTGAGAATTCCTTGTTGCCTTTCAACGAATTATAAAAAAAAAATGTGGAAATTTGATCATTTAAAAAACATGCACAAACAAACGAAGATTAGTTTGGTGTAAACTGACGAATTCAATATTTTTGAGATCAAATGGTGAACTAGCTATTACATCGTGCAAAACTTGCAAATTAGTTAAATCCATGCTATTTAGGTAGTGATCATTACCTTTACTCTTCAAGGCCTGCTCGGATAAAAATACATTTTTACTATGATCCAGTGAATTTGCATCGGGAGCTGCTGATGGTGTTCCAAAAATCATTTCACCAATTGCTGAGAAATTCCCTTCAAAAATAAAATTATATCCGTAAAAGGAAACATGCAACTACTAAATGCGAAAAATAATCCAACCTGAAGACGTGGATTGTTGATTTTGGATTGAGCTTGTAGATACGATTCCAGAATTACCAGTAACTTCACTCAGATTTAAGTTAACATCATTCGCTACAGAAATTGGTGATTGGGCTTACAAAATAAAACAAAATTATTAATCACAATCACCAACCAAATAAGTTAAAACAAGCACTTATTGATTAACAGGCAATACCTTTAATAATTTGAGTTACCTTGACTCTCCAATGAAAACAAATTTCTGCTTTGATTAAAGTAATTTGTATCATTATTACCATTGATAACTCCTGATAATAGTCCAGATATCACTGATGAGAAATTGCCTTAAAAATAATCCAGTTAAATGTTTGCAGAACTAAAACAATTAATGCAATATGAATATCGAACCTGAAAAATTGGTTTTACCGCCCGCTTTATCATTATTTGAGCTTGTAGACTCAAATCGAAAATCACCAAAATTGTGTATTGAACTAAAATCAGTTCCGTTTGTTGAAGAAACTGGCACGTGACCTTCAGAAAATGAGACAATACTAACTTCTAGTTATGACTATCATAAGCAATGTTACCTTTGATGGTCACACTTTGGTTTAATTTTTGGCTAGAATCTCCCAGTAAAGAAAGCAGTATATTTTTGTTTATATCCACTTTAGTTTCACCATTAAAAGAGAATGAATCATTTAATGCTGTCTCACCTATGATAAGAAAAGTTTATCAACGCGAGTAACTGTTAAAATTTGTAAATGATTCATCATACAGTGATAATTTCGATTACCTTGTTTCTCCACGATTTGCCCCGATGACGATGAAAATACATTTTTATCGACCGAATTTGCACCTTTATCATTGACCATTGTTCCAGTAATAACTAGATAACTAACTGAACAGGAATTTTAAAAGTTTCAAATAAAACGAATTTATCAAGTATTAGTCCATCATGCAAAACATGCAAAATGCAAAATGAATCGAACCTGAATACTTGGGCTCGCCATTTGCTTCGGTAATATTTGAAGTTTTAGATAAAAATCCAGAACCACCTCCTTTTACAAAAACGTTGTGGTTCGTTCTATTCGTTGAAGAAATTGGCAATAATAATTGTCCTTTGGAAAACGGAACAAAATTATTCAGGTATGCAAAAATCACGATGAATAAGCAAAAATACCTTCAACACTTTGGTTTATTTTGCTTCTGGAATCTCCTATTGAAGAAGCAATTATAGTATTTCTACTCGAGACCAGCTTAGCATCATTATCAGCTGATACTGTTCCACCTTATCAAAAAAAACATAAATTCATTCCGCCATGTAACCATTTCCTAATCAAACTCACCAACCAACTGGTAAACTTGTCCATTGACAAAAATTTTATCAGCCAAATCCAATGGCACGCCATTTATAAAAGTGCGCAAATCTCCACTTATGTTCTTCAGTGAAGATTCTTTAAAGTTTTTAAAGTAGATTAAATAAAAATTACTAGTCTAAGCTCTCACCTGCATGTGCAAATCCTCCTTGCAAGAAAGGATTGCTGCTCAAATCAACCTTAGCACCCTTGTGGGATGATGATGGCAAATCGTCAGGTTTGGTGAGACTTTCGGAAAACTTGGCTGAACCTCCAGCAGAGGCGAAGTTTCCATTTAAGAAAACATTCTTTTGGACATCGATGGCAGAACCACTGGAACTGATGCTATCACCTTCTTTGTTGATAGCGCATTTTCCTGTAAAGAAAAAAATGTTATGGTAATATTTCTATTTCGAGTTAGTGCCTAATTGCTCTAACGAATCTGGCAGGGAAAATATTCATGCAAAACAGAATAAAATTGGTGATAGACAACTTCAAGCTCTATAAATCCCTAGGACAGGACGGTAACTTTCCAGCCCTGCTGCAAAAGGATTACAATATCCTGAGGGTACACTTCCAAATCTAGCCTCACTCTGAATTACGTTCCACTGGCCTGGAGTAAGGCAGGCATGACATTCATACCAAAGGCAGGACGCCGGCGCCGGCCAGAGGATGAACCCCAACCTTAAATCCGAGGAGGAAGCAATAGACCATTATATCAGAAGCTAAATTCTAAATAGCAAACCATTTCATCCAAAACAGTTTGCCTATCAAACAGGCAAATCTATAACAAGTGCACTCCATTGTCTAGTTTCAGGCATAGAAACGGCACTTGAGGCAAAAAAATCGCTCTTGCAGCTTTTGTGGATATAGAGGGTGTCTTTGATAACACCTTACACCGATCTATCAAAAGCCCTTAATTTCGTTTACAAAAATAAGAAACCTGAATCTATAAACCTCAACTCTAAACGGCACACAATTATCTCTCTCGGATGAGGTTAAATATTTAAGTGTCACCCTGGACCGCAAACTTACTTGGAACAACCATCTGAACAAAACAATATCACGAGCTACGGCAGCCACTTGGACATGCCGCCAAATCGTTGAAAAAACTTGGGGAGATAACACCAAAAATGGTACCTATACTGGATTCAACAAACGGTTGTCAGACCCATTGTCACCTACACCTCGTTGGTATGGTGGCCAAAGACTGAGCAAATTACTGCACAGAAACAGTCTCCGTAAAGTAGCTACAAAGGCTAATCTGTCTAGGAATAACAGAGGCAACCTGCCCCATCGCAGTCTTAAAGGCATTGCTGAACATGCTTCCTCTTCACCTATATGTGAAAAAAGAGGCAAGTATACCATATAGCCTGTAGGCTATTCCAAACAAAAAGATTCAAGCCTAGTGATCTGAATGGCCACTCGCATCTTTCAGTCTATAAAGCTCGAGTGCCAGAGTAAACCAACAGATCATAGGAGAACATTGGGACTTTGACATTCCATATGAAGTGGTTGTAAAAGAAGGCCAATCATGGAAGAACGTAAAGCTACCACAAGCGGAACGGTTTTGTTGGTCTGCTCACTGGGTACTGCCTGGTAAAATACCTAAAAGTAGTAGGCAACAGAAACTATAGAACAACAATCTGTGAATGACTTCTGCAAAAGGCTGAAATAATTTCAAGGGGTACAGTGGGCACTCTACCACCCAGGAAGAAACTGGCCTCCTTTGGAAGAAGCCTACAAATCTCGGACACCAACTAGAAACAGAGTCACATACAAAATATCTGGAAAGGTGCAGTGCTCGAGCGGCTGGAACAAGATGTAACGACTCCAAATCCAGCTAATTGATGTTGATTGATAATAATAATAATAATAATAATAATAATAATAATAATAATAATAATAATAATAATAATAATAATAATAATAATAATAATAATAATAATAATAATAACTCGTGGGAGTTTGTCAGTTCTCCTATCGAGGGAGGCCCCTGGCGATGGAGTTGCCCATCGGATAACCGAAGGGCAGGTGGAAAATAAAATACCAACCGTGTACAAAAAACTGACTACACCCATGAAAATGGAGACAACAAAGAAAGCCTAGGAAATATGTAACGTCGTCAACGGAAGCAGTGCGATTTCGCCTGAAGCCGAGTCCGGCAAGGGGGTTGAGGTGCCCCAGTTCGTCATTAAGTCAAACCCTCAAACGCCAGATCCTACTGTTACTACATGAATCAGGATAAAACTTATGGAACAAGTGTTGAAATACTAGCAATGTCCGAACTATACGACACCAACTTCAAAATCTATGCAGAAACAAAACGACCTGCAACTGAACAGTACACGAGTGACAAAAAGTCAACTGTCATATCAAAGAACGATCACAAGAAGGATGTTGACCTCATCTTGTTCCGTAACCTGGAAAATGGAGACTTCGAACTACTGACAGGAGAAGTGATCACAAACAATACCACTAATATGCAAAATGCGAAAATCAGCACTAAAAACCAGAAATCCCAAAACGAAACAACTAATCGAGAACAGCAGAATGTAAAATGTAAAAGAATAATATGGACTTTATGAGTACACAGAGATTATTTGGTAACTATTTTTCCAGTATTTGAGTTATGTCATGAGGCTCATAACACAACTAGTGGTGTAATGGACTAGGTTATGAATTCATAACACAACTAGTGGTGTTATGGCAAGGTTATGAATTCATAACAGAACTATTTTTGGTGATTTGGCAAATGTCAAAGGTAATCCTGTAAAGGTAAAATGAAGGTATACAACGACTAATAAACGAAAATGATTGAAATTTTTTTTATTATTTTTCGCTTTGTAGATAAAAAGTTGTACATCACACGTGCGTTTAAACATGACTACAAAACTCGCGTGAATAGAACAACTCTGTCTACGACCTCGTCGTTCTAATCTTTCACACTCGTTATTGTAATCATGTTCATAAACCCACTTGTAATGTAAATAACTATTTCACAATAGTTTTTCATTTTACTGTGGGTAACATCAAAAAATGAGTATCAGCAGAAAATCACAAACAAAAATAAACACTTTTTGAGGCTGAAATTTATAAACATAGATATCAGGTGTCAAAATTATGAATACAAAATGAGGGAATACTCTAGCACCTACTACAGTCTTCCAATAACTGTTTTTTTCTTGGAAAAATAGTGCTGATGCCCTAATAAAATAACGTAGATCCTTAATACTGCGAGGCAGTATTTAATAGTTCCAATAACTCTCTACTATCATACTAAAGAAAAAAAAGGAAAAGTTGACACCCGGGAGACCTTTAGACTTTGAAAAGTAGAAATCCCCTCCTCGATAAGAATAAAATCCCATCCAATGAACTTCAAAACCTCTTAGAAAACGTAAAAAAACATCTAATCATGCAAACGAGCTACATCTCAAAAACAAGCAAATACATACTGTATGTATAATAGAACAACCCCTGGGGCGTGGCACCCGAAAAAAACAAAAATTTACGAAAATTACAAAAAATACGATAAGTAAAAAGAAATACGAAAAATACAAAAAAAATTGTAAAAACTGGAAAAATACAAAAATTTATGAAAATTACAAAAAATACGATGGTTACAAAAAAAAAAATCGTGAAAAACACGAAAAATACAAAAAATCGAAAAAAACACGAAAAATACAATAATTTCCGAAAATACGATAATTACAAAAAATACGATAGGTAATTGCAAAAAAAATATACGATAATAGTTACAAGAATTCGTAAAAAACAGGAAAAATACAAAAATTTACGAAAATTGCAAAAAATACGATAATCACAAGCACAAGAAAAATACAAAAAAATCGAAAAAAAAAAAAAACAAAAATGGAATAATTTACGAAAATGACAGAAAATACGATCATTACAAAAAAATACGATACCTACGTAATTGCAAAAAAAAAAACGATATGTTCCAATTTTTGAAGGCCGATATGAAGAGAGTATCACATTTCGAGACATTTTCATCAAAGTGGCTCATGAAAATCCAACAGTCGCGACAATAGAGAAAATGCAGTATCTTAAAACGCATGTGAGAGGGGAAGCTGGAAGACTGACCCAGCACCTGTCTATAACAGAAACGAACTATGGCCCTGTTTGAAATATTCTTAATGACCGATACATCAACAACAGACTTATAGTCTCCAAACTACTAGACAGGATCTTAGATCTTCCAGTGATTAATCACGAATCATCATTCAAGATAAACAGCTTCACGATACAGTTGTGAAATGTCTTGAAGGCATCAATAATCTGAATATCGATACTTCCAATTAGGGTCCTATTATCAGTTGCATCATTTGCCGGGAATGGGATCATGAAACCAACAAGCTTTACCAACAATCGCTAAGCAAGCCCTATGGAATACAGGAAACTATACAGAGTGAGAGAGATAAAATCGATTATTGTCTATTCCCGGCTCTTGAATTCAACTCAGTCATGAACAAATAGATTGACAAACGACGTTTTCAATGTTTATCTGTCAACTCCTGTTACAGTGAAATTAGTGTCCAGTGTGAGAGAGATAGAACCATTACAAGGTAAAAAACTATACAGAGAGAGTGAGATGAAATCGATTTTTGTCTATTCCCGGCTCTTGAATTCAACTTAGTCATAAACAAATTGATCGACAAACGACGTTCAATCCAATGATTATCTGTCAACTCCTGTTACAGAGAAATTAATGTCAAATATGAGAGAGATAGAACCATTACCAGGCAAAAAAAATATACAAAGTGAGAGAGATGAAATCAATTTTCGTCTATTCCCGGCTCTTGAATTCAATTCAGTCATGAACAAATTGATTGACAAACAACGTTTTTAATGTTTATCTATCAACTCTTGTTACACAGAAATTGGTGTCGAGTGTGAGAGACATAGAACCATTACAAGGTAAAAAAACTATACAGAGTGAGAGAGATGAAATCGATAATTGTCTATTCCCGGCTCTTGAATTCAGCTCAGTCATGAACAAATTGATTGACAAAATACGTTTTCAATGTTTATTTGTCAACTCGTGTTACAGAGAAATTAGTGTCAAGTGTGAGAGAGACAGAACCATTACAAGGTAAAAAACTATACAGAGTGAGTGAGATGAAATCGATTTTTGTCTATTCCCGGCTCTTGAATTCAACTCAGTCATAAACAAATTAATTGACAAACGAGGTTTAATTCAATGTTTATCTGTCTACTCCTGTAACAGAGAAATTAATATCAAGTGTGAGAGAGGTAGAACCATTACCAGGCAAAAAAATATACAGAGTGAGAGAGATGAAATCGATTTTTGTCTATTCCTGGCTCTTGAATTCCACTCAGTCATAGATTGACACACTACGTTCAATTCAATGTTTATCTGTCAACTCCTGTTACAGAGAAATTAGTGTCAAGTGTGAGAGAGATAGATTCATAACTAGGTAAAAAAAAACTATACAGAGGAAAAGAGATGAAATCGATTTTTGTCTATTCCCGACTCTTGAATTCAACTCAGCCATAAACAAATTGATTGCCAAACGAAGTTCAATTCAATGTTTATTTGTCAATTCCTGTTACAGAGAAATTAGTTTCAAGTATGGGAGAGATAGAACCATTACTAAGTAAAGAAACTATACAGAGTGAGACATATGAAATCGATTTTTGTCTATTCCCGGCTCTTGAATTCAACTCAGTCATAAACAAGTTTATTAACAAACGACGTTCAATTCAATGTTTATCTGTCAACTCCTATTATAGAGAAATTAGTGTCAAGTGTGAGAGAGATAGATTCATTACTACGTAAAAAACTATACAGAGGGAGAGAGATTAAATCGATTTTTGTCTATCTCAGGCTCTTGAATTCTCTCAGTTTAAAGAAATTTAGGAGCCGGGAACAGACAAAAATTGGAAAGGAATAGTTAAGCGAGAAAATTAATGAGAATTGAAAATTGGGAAAAATTTGAGAAGAAACTGGTTGATAAGCAGAAATACAAGGATTGTCTCTTGTCTCTATTCCAGGCTCTCAAATTCTCTCAATTTAGAAAAATTTGAGGAAATTTAAGAGCCGGGAGCAGACAAAAATTGAAAAGGAATGGTTAAATAAGCAAGAAAACTAATGAGAATGGAAAATTGAGAAAAATTTGAGGAGAAACTATGGTTGATAAGCAGCAATACAAGAATTTACTCTATTCCAGGGCCGGTATTCTCGTTCTCGAAAACACTCACCGCTTTTAAGTTGCTCGGCACTTCTAATGTAAATTAACATTAAAAGTGACGAGCGACTAAAAAGTAAAAAGCGGTGAGCATTTTCGGGAACGAGAATACCGGCCCAGTTTAACTTAAAAGTCCCTCTATTTAGGGAAATTGACGTGTCTCGCAGAAATAGAAAGAGAGAGCTCAAGAATAAATGAGCGAGAGAATTTATAAGAATTAAAAATTGAGAAAAGTTTTAGAAGAAACTGGTTGATAAGCAGAAATACAAGGATTATCTCTCTTAAATTCTCTCCAAATGACGTCATTTTAGAGTCAAATTCGGTTCGCGGTGTCATCTAACCAAAATATGACGTGATTTATGACCTAACTGTCACATGCATGAACGTCTGACGCATTTATGACGTAATTCCCAGTGGCGGATGCACAGGGGGGTGAAGAGAGTTATTCCCCTTCCCTCCAGAGAGGCCTAAGAAAATTTCGATTATCAAAAAAACACACAATTTATTTTTTGGAGGTTAAAAATGCGTTTTGGACGTGGCACCCGACAAAAATTTCTGCCCTTCATAGACCACGAGCCGTTACTGGTCGAGAAGTTCTATAGGATTTTCACGCTATATTTAGGATGACGTCACATTCAGTAAATTTCTGCTGCGAACCTAACAAAACTAACGCATTTAAAGTAGGGGAATTTTAGATGTTTTTGGTTGGCAACGGCGCGCGACTTTGCATGACTTCTATAAACATTTTCATTTCGTTATTTTTAGCTGTTAGAATTATTGACACATGGCATTCTGGTAAATTATAAGAAAAAAAATAAGTATTGACAACATTGTCTATCCTTGTTCAATGACGTCATACTAAATATAACATAAAAAACTTATACCCCCCTAGAATAATGCTATAGATCCGCCACTGGCTTCAGAAACATCCAATGAAAAAAACCAACAAAAAACCCTAATACGGTAAATAGATGAACGATTAAAAAACGATACAGCCAGTGATAAAGAGATCCGAAGAACACCATTGAAGAAAATCAATGGAAACAAAGAAGCAAAAGAAATAATAAAACTGAGTAACCTTGCTATAAAGGAAATTGTCAAAAAAAATGCACAATAATAGTTATTTTTTATACAAGACGATAAAATGGTAGTTTATCGTTGACCGAAAAAGTTAATTCCCGAGCGGAGTGGCAAGTGAATTAATTCCGGGAGACGATAATGGCATTTTATTGTCGTGTGTAAAACAAAGTTTTTTTTTTCCATAGCCTAATTATGGACGCCTGTAGTATCAAAAATATTTAGAAATTATTTGAGTCGAACACTTTTGCATAAGTAGAAATTCGTTTGAGAAACTTTGACAAATAAATAAAAAACAAAATATGTATATATTTTTGACAAAATAAACGACTTGTTAAATAATATATTATATATTATATAATAATTCGTGTCCTCAAAAATTGTTATTGAATCTTGATTCTTCGTATATTTCTTGTTTGTTTCTAATTTATTTTCAGTTTGATACGTTCACAATTATTTGTTTTTTGCTTTACTTTTTGTAGTCCTGAAGAAGTGTTTAATTAAACACGAAACGTTGACGTTGCGAGAAATCCAGAGTTTTATTCCGTCCTAAACCGAAGAATCAAAATTCAATAATATAATATTTTATATAGCAATATAATATACTACAGCAGCCACAATCCAAGAAATCTTGAACCCAAATCCTACTCCATCAAAAAGGAAGAATAGGAAGAAAACAGATTTTAGCAAACCACCGTGGAAAAAGAGAATCCTGAGCAGTATTGGGAAACTAAGAAAAGACATCTCAGCAGCAGAAAAGTATGAGAAAGAAGCTAATCAACGAATATTACAGAAGAGTAAGAGCAGTTCTAAAAACCGAGTTGAACGCTAAAGACAAAATTACTGCAATCGTATCCCTAGCAGTTCCTGTAATTCATTACAGCCTCGGCACTAGCGAGTTGACCATAGCCGAAATCCGAAAACTGGACAGACAGACGCGGAAACTACTTACCATACATGACGCCCTACACCCAAAAGCCGACGTGAACCGTCTCTATGTCCCGAGGAAAGATGGAGGCCGCGGCTTACTCAATATAGAATCAAGCTATTTTGTCGCCCTCACGGGTCTTGAAAGGTACTTAGAGCTGAAGGCTGACGACAAATTCCTTAAAATGGTTCTCAACAAAATGAACGGAAAAACTAAAAGCCAAAGAAGGAAGGACAAGGAAGAGGATAAATTTGAGGCTGAAGATATTAGCAGCAGGAAACCTGAAACGAGAACAGTTAAACTAATTAAAGAAAGAATAAAATTCAAATTAAGTAAAGAACAGAAAGAGAAATGGAGAGAAAAACCAATGCATGGCCAAATTTTGAAAGAGGTAGAAAAGGAATCAATCGATGAAAGACAAACGTGGAAATGGTTGACGCACACAAATCTGATGGTAGAGACCGAAGCCTTGATAACTGCCTGCCAGGAGCAGGCCATAGCAACCAATTATACAAAGACAAGAATCTTGAAATCTGGTAACGACCTAGTCTGTAGACTATGTCAGATACATCTAGAAACCATCCACCATATCATATTATCTGGCTGCCCAATCCTTGCAAAAAAGGCGTATCCTGTCCGCCGCAATCTGGTTGCTGCGCACCTGCACTGGAATATATGCAAATACCTATTCCAGTAGACGACGAATGGTATGAACATAGTCCACCTCCAGTGATAGACACCTCCGAAGTCACTATCGTCTGGGACATGCAGGTGCACACAGACCGAGCAACTCAGGCCAACAAGCCGGATATCATCCTGAAAAATAAGAAGCACAAGCAATGCCTGCTGATTGACGTAGCTATTCCATCGGACTACAACACAACTAAAAAGGAAGCTGAAAAGTATCTCAAAGATTTACAAATAGAAACTCAAAGGCTATGGAATATGAAGACATCAGTAATTCCAGTGGTAATTGGTGCAACAGGACTGATATCAAAAAGAACTCAGGAAACCAACGAACACATCCTGGGAGCCCACAATCTCATAATTCTCCAGAAATCTGTTGTGCTGAGCACTGCACATATCATGCGCAAAGTCCTTTAACCGCGCACTCTGGAAATTCACCCCAGGAGCAAGGTCTGCTCTCGGTAGATTTTTTTTATCACCACAGCCATAAACAACCAACTGTCTGATATTGAGAGAATAATTTTATAATAATAATAATAATACGCCTTTATTTTTTAAATTAGCGAAGGGGGGATAATGATTAGATGATAAATTCTTACCAGTTTCTGCGCATTTTTTATAATATTCAATCGAGGCCTTCAGTGGGCTACCATCTTGTTGCCACCAGAAAGCGTTGTTGATTTCTTGTGGATCGGCAGTTTGTGGAGGTTGTGCTTGTCCTTGGAGGACGTGACTCACGTCCGCAAGGACTGTAGTGAGGAGTGTTATCCCCACTAGGACTAGTGGAGACATCTTAAGGCCTAATCTAGAATAGAAAAATCCTCCTTTATATAGGTATATCTAGTTAAGGTTAAATTAATTGGGATACTTTGTAGTTATTATTTAGCTATAAAAGCTCTAAATGGAAGTCTTGCATCAACGATAATTATTGCACTTTTTTGGTTTACATATTATGGTGGAGACGCAATCATTATCATACCTATTTATATTAGTCGAACTACATCAGAAATAAAACCAAATTTGAAATAGTAGGTATAATAAATATAAAATAATAATCATAAAATATGTATAATATTCACTCACGAAGCAAGTTACATCACAAAAATGTCCAAAAAATAATAGTTAATATATTTCCAAAAATTTTTAAATTTGGGAACCTGCTACTAAAAATATTCAACTAATTCTCCAGTCTATAGACTATATGCAAATATGATTATTATTAGTTATTAGTAGCTCATCAGGTTTGGAATTTGATAAGTAATATTTTTGGTAATATGTATATAAGAAGCTTTTATTTTATTCTAAGATTATGTGGATTCTTATTAGTATTGCTTGCAAACGAATATTTTCCTAGAAGTTACTTTCTTTTAAATGCAAATTTTTATGCGATTTCGCCTACCCAAAAAATCGATTTGTGCCACACCAAAGTAAAAAAAAAAAAACATTCATTAACTATCATTACTATGCAAAGATTAAAAGACTACTGAAAAAAAACAGAAAGATCTACTTTCGCTATGTCCAATACTAAATTCTATGGCGATTTCAATTTTAGATACATAAAAGTAACCATGTCGCAATGATAATGGACGTTTCTAATATCAAATTGGGCGATCAAAAATTTTATATGATAATTTTCGATAATTTGTAATACATATGTAGTGCAAGTTTTGTTTTTTTTTTAGGTATATTTGAAAGGAATTTGTACATCGATTTTATTGATTATCGTAGGTTGCTAAATTTGGCATACTTTGTAGCAGTTACTAAATTTTTGTATTTGAACTTATTTCAAGAAAAGGGCTTTCTAAAGAAATAAACAATTTATGATTTATTTATCAATAGATGACTGATGGAGATATTCAAGGTAAGGAATCTAGAAGATTTTATCTATTTTAAACTATTTTAAAAGGTTCATAAAACAATAGTTTGTTGCGAAACATTACTTCATGTATTATTTTATGTTTTAATACACAATATAATTTTTCTTTTTAAAACTTCTCTCAGAAGATTGTTATTTTCAGTGGCCTTAAAACATAATCATGACTTATAAAATATATTTTCCATTATTACCATACAGAAACAATTTTTAGAAAATATCAATGTCCATTCAAATGAGGTCATTACCAGTGGCATCTTTTAGCACCTTATTGAGAAATTGATTTGTACAAAATAAATAAGTTACTTTTTCAACATATTATTTTATATAAGTTGAGATTTAAATGTTAAATTTGGTTTTGGGTTTTGAATAATCACTGGTTGATGCTCAGAGGCAACATCCACATCAATATTTAACGCGAGAGTCGAGTTGAAAAGAAGATGCTCCTTAACTTTGAGGCACTCTAAAGGCGGACTCCAGTTCAGGACCAGAACAACTTATTCTACAGTAACAGGACAGTAACTGTTTCGCTGTTCAATTTCACTAATATTAGGCAATGTTTTAACGTGGCTTTTGTCAACGACCCAGATGGTAGAAGGATATCAACAAGAAAGTAAAAAAGAATATCAGAAGAAATATATAATTATTCGAAGAAATCATCAAATCCAACTCGAACGTGAATTTTTTCCTATCAAATCAATCAAAATGTAGTTTGATGATGCACAAAATGATCAAGGATAGTTGTGAGCGAAATATACATATATAGAATTTTTTTTTAATGAAAATCCAATTTGAGATACTTAGTCCTAGTCTCGCAGGATAAATTCTGAAAATTTAACGTAGGATCAGAAGAGCAAGAGAAATTATCAAATTAATAAGAACATCAACAGCCTGATCAATCTGCTGCCAATCTTCTACACGCCATTATTAGCAAAGTTCCTAAAAACCAAAAATGATTCCAATACAACTGACCATATTCGGAAAATTAGACAGAATATTAATCAATCAACAAAAAATTATTCATCTTGTTTTTGTGAAGAATCCAAACATATACATCCTGCAAAACACTAACAGGATGAGATCTTTTCAAAGGCCAAATAACATGTACCTAAATCATTATTTTATTAATAATTAACAATAATTATTATTATTCTTATTTCTTAATAGGAAGTTTATTGGTCTGACATTTAAAAATACGAAAAATGATTCAAATTTCTTAGATGTCAAGGTAACAATCTGATGTTGTTTCTCACGGGATGTTCTTCTGCTTTCAAGCAGGTAAAGAGTGGATAGTTTAAAAATTCTGCTATTAAATATTTTAACGTTAAAACTCAAAAGTCCTTAATAGATATCTCACTTTCGATTTCATTTTTGTTAGAAACTTATTTCATAACGAAAAAGTTCAGCAGGTGCAAAGTGATTTGTTTGCTCTAGTAATTATAGCTTCTTGATGTTTTTTTTGATGGTATGTCATCGGAAGATGTATTAGAATTACGAAATTATTACCCATTGGATTAAAATTAATGAAGATTGGGAAGAATGTGCATTATGAGATAATTATAGTAACTATTATTTTAAATGTTTTTTCAGTGTTACTAATCTTCTATTAAAAATTACCTAATAATCCTGTACGAGGAACCGGTAATTCAAATTTTAACTTTTGAATAAGTTTGATCATCATTTTAATTATTTTATTAAATCATAGCTTTAAAATTTAATTAATTTTTATATCTATTACAAAATAAGTGTTGATCATTGAAAACAAAGAAAAACACTAATTAATTCAATTAAAACGATTACAAGACCTTTGTAGGTCATCTTAAGAATTAAAATATCTCAAAGAGGTTTTTACCGACACGATGTTTGTTTAATAACACGCATTCCTATAATAGGTTCTCATTGACAAGGTGTTTTTCTTTTGATTTTTCGGTTTTATAATAGGTATCAATGATTTTTATTGATTTTCATTGAATTTGTGATTTAATGATGATAATGATCTTTATTTAATTCAAATAATAAAAATTCTTCAAGTTTTTAGGGAGATCATAATCATGAAAAACTTCAATGCCAAGACTTTACAAGGCCGTGTTGATGATCAGTATAAGGGAGATAGGCTAACAAAATTCTGTTAGAAACTAAAACTAGTTATTGCAAATACTTGGTTCCAACTACCACCAAGATAACTCTACACCTGGCAATCTACATAACATACGAACGAACACCTAGTAAGAAATCAGATTAATTTTAAACTGATCAATCAAAGATATACCTGATTGCACGGAGTACCTAAGTACCTACCCAGGACTGACATAGAGTCAGACCACAATCCCGTAGTCGGCAAACTTAAAATAATATTAAAGAAAGTTAAGCGAAGATCTATCAACATAAGGAAACCTGAGGTTCAAATAAGAATCGAGAGAAAAGTAAACGAGGAAATCGTTGAAATCATGTCCCTGAATCACAAATAACGAAATTGGACCACCAAGCAACAAGAATAAGAAAAGGATGACAAAGGAAATATTTATTCTAATGGATAAACTAAGAACTTTTGAAAACAAGGACGAAACTGAGTATAAAAGGATCAACAAAGAGATTCGAAATGAGATCCGTAAAGCCAAGGAACAATGATGGTGACAAGAAAGATGCACAGAACTGGAAGAATGGGAGGAGAAGCATGACCATTTCAACACGCATAAATTAGTGAAAGAAGTTAAAGCCCGAATAAAGCCTTGCAATTTGAGTAACACCTGACGTCACACCTGTTTTTACCATATACTTCACCCCTTCGCTCCTCATACGGAAAGTGTCAGATTAAAAACGACGGATAATACATACAGAGATAATAAAACTGCTGAATGACGAGAACGTGACTCCCTGATGGATATATTCAACAACATATAAGAGACGCGCGAGATACCACAGGACTGGCTCCAGTCAATTTTTGTACCGATCACAAAAACACCAAACGTAAACCACTCTAATCACTTCCGAATTATCATCTTGATGAGTCAAGTCTTGAAGATAATCCATACGATAATTCACAACAGATGCTACTCAGTTCGGGTTCAGACAAGGCTTCCGCACACGTGACGCACTTTTAAGTCTAACCTTATCCCTTCAGAAATGCAAAGACCAGCGTAAGAACATTTTCATGTGTTGCATAGATTATCAGAAGGCGTTCGACTGTGTCAAACACTCTGAGATAATAAAGATGCTTCAAGATGATAGATAAGAAAGATCTACGATTTATGAAGAACTTATAGATAGGTACATAAATCAAACAGCATCGGTAAGAGTGCTAAAAACCCCGTGGATGGACCGTGTGTCGAACGAAGAGGTTCTGGATGGAATGGAAAGAAAGAGTTGCTACAGGAAAACTGCATACCTGGGTAATATCTTCAGAAAGTCCAAGTATCAATTCCTAAGGCCGATGATGGAAGAGAAGATCGAGGGAAAGAGAGGCATCGGGATGAAGAAATTATCGTGGTTAAAAAACATAAGAGACTGGACAAACCTCGACGCCCATGCACTTGTCAGAGCCGGGCAAGATTGAAATGAATATGCCAACATGTATGAATATATAAGGCACTTTAAGAAGAAGATACCACATAGCTAACCACACTTTTTATAATTCCTAATTTCATCAGACTGATAAATTTCTAACTACCCCAGATTACACTAAAAACTTTATCAGCCTGATAAGTTTCTACCAGTCAAGGATACTGAATATCAAATTTAATAATGCCTAAGGATCTGATAAGCCGTTTATTAGATTGAAGTTAGTGGTTGGTGAATGCGGCCGTAAAAATCCAGTTTTCGTAGATTTATAGCCAAGCCCTATTTCTCAGCCTCAAACCATGAAAAAGCAAAAACAAAGTTATAATTAAATTCTGTTACGAGTTTAGGATGTTTTTTTCAAACGTGATAATTTC